AAGGTTGTTACTTTGTTCTCTGCTAGGCAGTAGGTTTTGATTTTATATAAAGAGTTCTGTCTTCTGGGATATAATGCTTTTAGTCTGTTGAAAGTCAACCAATTTTTGGAGGAACATGTTTTCTCCATTTTCAGGGTGGAAGAATAATTAAAGCAAGAAACCAGCATGAAGCAGGTGAAACTTTAATCTCGTCCTCTTTCTGGCAAGGTAGAACCTACATGCGATTGAGGTTAGCTCTCTCTAAGTGACCCAATTGAGTAGGTCTTAGCCCCTCACCTGAGGATTGAAACAGATCCAGTTTTTGAGATGTTGTGTTTTCTAGTTTCTAGAATAACAGACAATGGAAAAAGTCCAAAAACCTGGTAATCCTGTCTTCATGTTAAACCCTGTTACTTTGATATACATGACTATGTTGATTCTTGCATTTATCTTATAGCACAGCATAGGCCCTTACAGGAAAATCTGTACCCATCGATGTGATTTGACACATAAGCTGACAGAACTCAAGTTAAGTTTTATATTCAGCTTTCCAAGGAATCTGGCATGCTATGTCTATCGTATAATAATTGTACTTATTCCTGATGTAATGGTTTCATAATTAATTTGCTATGATAATGATCATAATAATTCTGTTTGTTTCCCAGCAGTAAACAGCTCACGACAAACGAGCATTATTAAATGTATACAAAGACAAAACAAGGCATTTGTGTACATCTCATAAAGCCTACTTTCCTATTATGGATTTGCAATTCTATGAACCTTTTCTGTTATATCATATTTAGATACTGTAAATCCATAATCTAACAATGATATTAAAATTCTGTCTGCAGTAAATATCTTTCATATAACATCAACATTTCACCCCACTGCCAAGTTTGTAATTTATAGGTTCTGTTGTTTTCTTCACGTCGGTTGTTGCAATGATTGTGAAATAAATAACTAGACAATGGGCATTACTAGGCAGTCACCCATAAACAGCAACAGAGGAATGGTGTTTTCTGTGCAGTCTGTGCCAAGGTGTTATACACCGGACAGTTACAGTGGAACCTTGCTTAACGAGCAAAACAAATTGTAAAAAAATGACTCGCTTAACGAGTGACGAGAGGGGAAGTCCCGGATTGTGCGCTTGCTACATCAGTCTGTGTTTAGCACTCGTTCTGCTAGCATCTTAGTGTCGCTTGTGATCACACATTTTTCCAAACTTGTGTTCAGACATATTATTTGTGATTTTTTTTTGTGCAAAGTTTAATAACCCTTGCAAAAATGTCCCCAAAGAAAAGGCTGTAAAAAGACAGCCATAAGAGAATAAAAATAACCATAGAAATGAAACGTAAAATCATTGAAAAGAGAGAACAAGGTGTGAGCATGGCTGATCTAGCACGCACATACAATCGGTCTACATCAAAGATTTGCACTCCTCAAGAACAAGGACAAGATTAAGGAGACAGATGCTTCACAGGGAGTGACAAAAATATCTACACAATGGTTATGTATTCTTGACGATGTTGAAAGGCTGCTCCTCATATGGATAAATGAAAAGCAATTGCAAGGCGACACTATTAATGAGAACACCATTTGTGAGAAGGCGAAAGTGATATTCGCCGACCTCGTTAAGAAGACACCAGGACCATCAATGGCCAAAGAAGAAGCATTTAAGGGAAGCTGGGTGGTTGGAGAAGTTTAAGAGAAGAACCAGCATCCACGGCGTTGTAAGGCACGGTGAAGCAGCAAGCTCCGACACAAAGACAGCAGAGAACTTCATCGGCGATTTCAAGAAGCTCATAGATTCTGAGGATTACCATCCGCAACAGGTTTTTAAATGTGACAAGATGGGTCTCTTCTGGAAAAAGATGCCGAAGCAAACCTACATAACAGCAGAGGATAATGCACTGCCCAGCCACAAGCCAATGAAAGACCGTCTCACGCTGCTATTTTGTGCCAATGCAAGCAGCGATTTGTAAATTAAATTGCTGCTTGTTTACCATTCAGAAACTCCACAAGCCTTCAAGAAGTGTAAAGTACAGAAGAGCAGGCTAAATGTGATGTGGAGGTCCAACAACAAGGCTTGGGTGACACGTGACCTTTTTACTGATTGGATCAATGAAGTGTTTGGTCCTTCTGTGAAAAAAAAATTGCATGAGATGAATCTGCCACTCCATGTCTTGCTTGTTATGGACAACGCTCTTGCCCATCCTCCAGACCTATAACCTCCTTGAAGAATTTAAATTCATCAAGATCCAGTTTCTGCCTCCCAACACCACTCTGTTACTCCAGCCTATGGAACAGCAGGTTATTTCTAACTTTAAGAAGCTCTACACTAAAGCATCTTTGAGCATTGTTTTGAGGTGACTGAAGGGACCAACCTCACTCTCAGAGAGTTTTGGAAATATCACTTCCACATCGTTGCCTGCCTCAAGATGATCGAAAAGGAGTGGGAAGGGGTTAATAAGAGAACCCTCACTTCTGCTTGGAAGAAGCTTTGGCCGGAGAGCGTTGTCGAATGTGACTTTGGGGGGTTTGAGATAGTACGTGTGGAGCCTGTAGTCAACAAGACTGTGTCTTTGGCCAAGATCATGGGGCTGGCGGTAGATAAGAATGATATTGATGAGCTTGTGGAAGAGCACAGCAAAGAGCTGACCACCAAAGAGCTTATGGAGTTGCACTGTGTTTCACAGCAAGAAGTTGTGGTGGAGAGTTTGTCAGAGGAGGAGNTTGCCCATCCTCCAGACCTATAACCTCCTTGAAGAATTTAAATTCATCAAGATCCAGTTTCTGCCTCCCAACACCACTCTGTTACTCCAGCCTATGGAACAGCAGGTTATTTCTAACTTTAAGAAGCTCTACACTAAAGCATCTTTGAGCATTGTTTTGAGGTGACTGAAGGGACCAACCTCACTCTCAGAGAGTTTTGGAAATATCACTTCCACATCGTTGCCTGCCTCAAGATGATCGAAAAGGAGTGGGAAGGGGTTAATAAGAGAACCCTCACTTCTGCTTGGAAGAAGCTTTGGCCGGAGAGCGTTGTCGAATGTGACTTTGGGGGGTTTGAGATAGTACGTGTGGAGCCTGTAGTCAACAAGACTGTGTCTTTGGCCAAGATCATGGGGCTGGCGGTAGATAAGAATGATATTGATGAGCTTGTGGAAGAGCACAGCAAAGAGCTGACCACCAAAGAGCTTATGGAGTTGCACTGTGTTTCACAGCAAGAAGTTGTGGTGGAGAGTTTGTCAGAGGAGGAGGAGGTAACAGCAAAGCAACAATCTTCTGGCACAATAAGAGAAATGCTGAAAGCATGGGAAACTGTTGCATCGTACATTGAGAAGCAACACCCTAATAAGGCAGTGGCTATGCGCACTACAAATTTATTCAATGATAATGCTGTGTCGCATTTTCACCCAATTTTGAAGCGTCGGCAAAANCTCTACACTAAAGCATCTTTGAGCATTGTTTTGAGGTGACTGAAGGGACCAACCTCACTCTCAGAGAGTTTTGGAAATATCACTTCCACATCGTTGCCTGCCTCAAGATGATCGAAAAGGAGTGGGAAGGGGTTAATAAGAGAACCCTCACTTCTGCTTGGAAGAAGCTTTGGCCGGAGAGCGTTGTCGAATGTGACTTTGGGGGGTTTGAGATAGTACGTGTGGAGCCTGTAGTCAACAAGACTGTGTCTTTGGCCAAGATCATGGGGCTGGCGGTAGATAAGAATGATATTGATGAGCTTGTGGAAGAGCACAGCAAAGAGCTGACCACCAAAGAGCTTATGGAGTTGCACTGTTTCACAGCAAGAAGTTGTGGTGGAGAGTTTGTCAGAGGAGGAGGAGGTAACAGCAAAGCAACAATCTTCTGGCACAATAAGAGAAATGCTGAAAGCATGGGAAACTGTTGCATCGTACATTGAGAAGCAACACCCTAATAAGGCAGTGGCTATGCGCACTACAAATTTATTCAATGATAATGCTGTGTCGCATTTTCACCCAATTTTGAAGCGTCGGCAAAAACAAATGTCTGTAGACAGATTTCTAGTAAAAAAGAATTATATATGTATCATAAATAATAAACTAATTATCTCGATTCTTTTTTTTTTTTTTGTTTTCTGCAAATTGAATTCGCATTCCAGGTTGGTTCATTCTGCATAGAAGAAATGATGAAGATGATTCACGCTCCTTAACAAAGTATATATAATTTTCTTTGAATAAACGTTATACATAACATTTTTTGAGTATTTTTTTCGGAATGGAACGCATTATTGTATTTTACATTAATTTATATGGGAAAAATTGTTTTGCTTAACGAGTGTTTCGCATTACGAGTAAGATTCTGGAACAAATTATGCTCGTTAAGCGAGGTTCCACTGTATTTAGTGAGAGTCAGTTCAGTTAATCAGCTGAGCTGAGTTAGTTGATGGGTGAGAGTTAGGTAACTGCTGAAGTTCAGTTGTGAACTGTTGCTGTGAGAAGATGGTAGTTGAGGCCAGAGATACTTAGGGAACCCAGGGGAAGGGGAATTTCTGCCACTGAAAACTGCTACTGAACAACAGCTAGTGAATACGTGACTGTGGACACCAGTGTGTGTAACAGTGACCTGTGAAGTGTACTAAGGCCAATAAATCTGATCATCAATCCTAAACCTGTCTATAGTCACTCCAAAAAATTGTGACAGTAGTGTTCTCTGTTGTGATACTGTGTAATCTTGTGGGTGGATACTGATGCTTCAGAGGAACATGGTGCCTCCACCTTCAGGGTTGAAGTGTGTAGGTTCAGGAAGAAGTTCGGTTTTAAAGGCAGGTTACAAGGACAGTGGTCATGAGACCCAAGAAAATAGTATAAAGGAACCTGGTCCAAAATGGACAAAAATTGGCCTGTATAAGGAACACACTTGTTTATCATCACAGTCTGGAAATGGAACAGTGAGAAAGAATGGATGTTACCAGGCATCCAAGGTTGTTTCCAAGAAGAAAGGTGGATTTTTATCATTTCATTTTTATTTATTTTTTTTTTTGTGCTGTGAAGCTAAAATATGCTTTCCAAGCACCACATGGGAATTCACATTAGAAACAGCAGGCTGACAAAGGCAGATTCTTCAAAGTTTGGGACATGTTTTGTACATCACTGCTTCACAGTTTCAGTCGTTTGATGTCATCGCTTCGAAAGTCAGTCCTAGAACAAAATGTATATTAACAATTATAAAATAAAAACACTAACCAAAGCGCCTATTCCAGTTAAATAAAAAGTAACCCAAATACATGATTTTGCACATGCACACACACACACACACACACACACACACACACTGTTGTCCAAAAAGTATGCGACTTTATTTTTTGCCGCTGTAAGTAATGGCCAAAGGGGTGGGGAAACTGAGGGTAGTGGTAGAAGGGACTTTCATGTGCATCTGCGATTTCTTGCTGACTTGCAACACTGCCGGATGCATCTGTGGCTGCCTGATAGCAAAGTGGTGTAGCACGTGTTTGTCGCATTCGCTCAAGATGACAGAACGCTTGGAGCAGCGATACTGCACCAAGTTTTGTCACAAACTTGGAGATACCCAAGCCGAAACAATCCACAAAATTCAGCAGGCTTTTGGCGATGATGCAATGGGGGTCACTAAAATTAAAGAGTGGTTCAACCACTTTAAAGATGGCCGTATGTCGGTGGACAGTGAGCAGCGTTCCGGGAGACCGTCAATGCTGATATTGAAAAAGTGCAGACACTGATCATGGAGGACCGTTGTTTGGCCATCCGTGAAGTTGCTGATGAGGTTGGGATCAGCAGAAAACAATAAACACAATTTTAACTGAGGATTTGGGCATGCGAAGAGTGGCGACAAAATTTGTGCCCAAGCTGCTTTCACCAGAACAGCAACAACTCCGTCTGGAGATCGCGCAGGACGTGCTGGAGTGTGCCAACAGGGATCCTGAGTTCCTGAAGACTGTGATCACTGGTGACGAATTGTTGGTGTATGGATATGACCCAGAAACAAAGGTATAGGCGTCACAATGAAAGCATCCAACATCCCTGAGGCCCAAAAAAGCACAACAGGTTTGGAGCAATGTGAAGGTGATACTGACTGTTGCTCATTCATCACACCTGATCCAGGGTTTCCTGGCCAAGCATGGCATTCCGCAGGTTCGCCAGGCTCCTTACTCTCCTGACATGGCTCCTTGTGATTTCTGGCTGTTCCTGAGAATGAAGACACGATAAAAGGCTCCCTTTTTGACAGCTGCGAGGACATCATACAGAACGTGACGGTGCAGCTGCACACAATTCTAAAAGAAGCCTTTCAGAATTGCTTCCAGCAATGGTAGGACCACTGGGTTAAGTGTGTGGAGTCACAAGGGTCCTGCTTTGAAGGGGATTAGGTATTGTAACCACCCAGATACAACGCCCAAGGTCAGATAATTTTTGGACAGAGTAGTATATATGGATAAATACTTACACATTTTCTAACTAAAAAATCAGGACACTAGATAATGTCCACAAATATAATACTTGTATCAAAAATTCATGTTTGGAAGTTGTTCATAAAGGAGTAAAATTTTACATGTTAGATAAAGGCTATTAAAATTATGGCAGCATAATACTGACAAGAAGAATTCTGTATGATGAAGCAAGATTTCCATTCCTTACTGCATTAATTTATAACCACAATTTTGAACATGACCGTGTAATTGTTCTCTTTCCCCATGTTCTACACTTACTGATCACTGCATATTACTGATCCTTCAACATAAGACTCTATGCACTCCTTGACTACTGAACACAATGAGCACCCAACATGTGGCATGCTTAATGGGGGTGTCTTAACTGACAATAAGGCATTATTTTTGTGACAGCCTCCTCTCATCTGCTTTCACTTTCTTAAAAGTGGAGCCCACATATATTGAAGAGGAATCAATTTGTCAAATCTTTCATTTTTCATGCAGAAGAGAAAGTTCTGTATTTTATTAATGCATGAATTATGACTAATTAACAAAAATGACACACAGTGATTACTCTTAACGAAACTGATTCACTTACAATACTGCAAGTTCCTTTACTTTTATTATTATAGATGCTTTAGCATGGTGTTTTACTTTTTCATTTAAGTACTTGCAGAGAAACCAAACATGAATCCATTACTTTCAACAAAAAGAAATGACTCCTTATTAAAGTAAATCACAGAAACTGATGACTCCAACTATTTGGTGACAACCAAACATGAGATATAATTCCATCATGGTGGACAATGTACCGATACGATGTTCTCTGACTGCATTTAACAAGTGTAATCAAGGGATATATGAGATTTCACAATGTTCAAAATGTATTGAAAAGGAAGTAAATCTACAGGAAGCTCTTTTAGAGATAAGTTTATTACAATTAATAAACAAACTTTTATGTAAAGAACTGGGAATTAATTATACAAGACTGGAGGTTATGTCTGATAAAACAGCTGTTACAGCCCAGGGAAAAGAAGCTTCAAGTAGCTGGCAGCCGACCGAATGTATAAGAGGGAGAAACCTAGTGAGAAAAAATAAACTGGAGGATACATATGTGTCACAATTTTCTATAGCCACGAAAAACAGGTATGATGTGCTTGCAAATTTGGCTGATTACTCACTAACTAGTGAAGACTTTGTACGTGAGACTGAAGAAGCTTGATCGAGGAAGAAAGTGAAGTGTCAATTATACTGAAATGTCTCAAGTCAAACACAATACAAAGCAACGTGACTCTAGATTACCTAGGAAAGTGAATAATCAATATGAAAATGATCTTATGAATATTCAGGATGATAGCACAGAACCTAAAAAAATTCCAGTTATTGTTAACGGTTGTACTTCAGAAACTAGGGACATCAGTGCTGTTTCTAAGAATGAGGAAGTGTACTCTACACAAAACACTTTTAGTGATTTGTATGGTAAACTGTTAGATAATAAAACTAGTACTCCAATTTTCACAAAACACAAAGTATTGTTGATAGGAGATAGCCACTTAAGAGGATATTCCGAAAATATGAAACTTTATCTGAATGACCAATTCCAAGTAAGTGGTTTTATTAAACCTGGTGCAGAAACTAAGACTATTTTGGAACAAACTACAAAGGAGATAGATAACTTATTATCTACTGACTTTATCATTCTTTCCTGTGGTTCTAATGATATTGGAAGAGTAAGATTAAATGTGGTTCTTAGTGATATAATTGGTTTTATTAAGAAAGTCATTCATACAAAGGTCATTTTACTAACAATTCCTGTGAGACATGACTTGAGAGGTGCTAATATCAGTATCAATAAGGAAATTACTAAATTTAATAAGAGACTCTGCAAATTGGCTAAACTTTACTCTCATCTTAGTGTGCTGGAAATAGATGAAAACAGGCAATATTATACCAAACATGGGCTGCACTTGAATGGCCTAGGAAAAAAGATAGTGTCTCTTAATCTGGCTCTTCTTGTTTTCTCTCTTGTAAAGAAGGCAACTAATATGAGCATCAATATCATACCACTTGGATATCATGAGGCTCAAGCTCGAATAACGAGTATCTCTCCTAATGTAAATCATATCTTACCACAGAGTACTGTTGAAAGGAATAAACGTATCAGAAAAAAGCCAGTAACTAAAACAAATGATTTTTTATGGGAAGTTTAAACATAACTAGTAAATTAAACAAGCAAGATAACCATAATTTATCACATTTAAATAAAATGAATAGCAAAAATAGTAAATCATGTGCTTCACAAAATTCATTGAAAATATATCATCAGAACATTTGTGGCTTAAGGTCTAAAACCAATGAACTATTAAGTTCCTTACATCCAGATCTACCGCACATCATTTGTATTAGTGAACACCATCTAAAGCACCCAGAAATTAACAGTATTGTGATGGAAAATTATATGATTGGTGCCAGCTTTTGTAGACAATCTGCTATGAAAGGTGGAACATGTATATTTGTACTTAATTATATAAAATTTAATATAGTTAATGTTGATAAATATTGTGCGGATTTTGACATGGAACTTTGTGCAATTAAAATCCAAAACGAATCGTCCTATATTTATGTTTTATCCGTGTACAGAGCCCCTTCTGGTAATTTTAGCAATTTTTTGTTTAAAATGGACGAGGTGCTCAAATCATTGTATAGATTGAAAATTGAATTTATTATATGTGGAGACTTTAATATTGACTATCTTACTGACAATTATAAGAAAAATCAACTTAATGCTGTATTAAATTCTTATAACCTTTTTAGTGTTGTTGACTTCCCTACGAGAATAACAAATACCACTAAATCGGCTATTGATAATATATTTATTGATTATTCGAGAATAGGTAAATTTGAATTATTTCCTATTTATAATGGTACATCAGATCATGATGCCCAACTTATATTGATCCATGATATTACCATGCTTTCATATCCTAGAGGTTCTTGGAAGACAAGAAAAATTGATGAACTTTCCTTGTTAAATTTTAACTACAATCTTAGCTTTGAATTATGGAAAGATGTATTTGATGATGGAGATGTGAATGTTATGTTCAATACTTTCCTAAATACATTTTTAAAACATTTTTATAATAGTTTTCCTGAATCATCTACTAGACATTGCATCAATAATAATAAAGCATGGATATCATCTAGTATAAAAATTAAATGTAGTATAAAAAGGCATTTGTATTTAAACAGTAAGGAGAGTAACAATGCCAATATTAAAAGTCATTATAAGGCGTATTGTAGAGCTTTGTCTAGAGACATTAGGGAGGCCAAACGCTTGTATTATGATAAACTGATTATAAATTCCAAGAATAGAACTAAAACTACTTGGAACATTGTTAAACTGCTAACTGGAAGAAAATCCTATAATGAAACTACACCTAGCCTGAGTGTTCTTAGTAAATCACATATTAACCCAAAAATGATTGCTGATTCTTTTAACAAATATTTTTTATCAGTAGCAGAGTCTATTACTATAAACACACCAAACAATGATAATATAATTGATATTTGTAATAAATCTAATAAATATTTAACAGATATATTCATAAATACCTTCCCTCTTATTAATTATAGTTATGCTACAACCAATGAAATTGGAAAAATCATAGACAAATTGAAAACGACTAACTCATATGGTTATGATGAGATCCCTATCAAAATACTAAAAAGTTGTAAACATTTTATTACTTCACCTTTAACTTATATAATTAATAGATCGTTATCTATCCCTGATAGACTCAAATTTTCTGAGATAAAACCTATATACAAGAATGGTGATAAAAATCTTATCAGTAACTATAGACCCATATCATTATTGACTTCTTTCTCTAAGATATTTGAAAGAGTGCTGTTTGCAAGACTTTGTCATCATCTGACTAACAATAACGTGTTGGCGAGTGAACAGTTTGGATTTCGACCTGATTCTTCCACTGAAAAGGCTATCAATAGACTGCTTGACCAGATTTTAACTGCCCTAAATGTTGGTCAAAATGTGGGCGTAATATTTTGCGACTTGAAAAAAGCGTTTGATTGTGTGAATCACAAGATCTTATTGTCTAAATTGGAATTTTATGGCATTACAGGACCGATGCATAAAATAATAGCATCATATCTTACTGGAAGATTTCAAAGAATAAGACTACAAGCTAAAGACTGTAATTTGAATATTCGTTCTAGTTGGGGTGTAATCTCACATGGTGTCCCACAGGGATCAATTTTGGGACCCCTTTTGTTTTTGATTTATATTAATGATTTACCCTTAGTATTAAATAGGATTTCTTCTCCTATTCTTTATGCAGATGATACTAGCGTAATTATATGTAATCCGGATCCTCTAAATTTTCTTCACAATGTGACTGAAGTTTTCAATAAATTAGATTCATGGTTCAATGCCAATTTATTATCTTTTAATTTTTCTAAAACCGAATTCATTAAGTTCAAAACAAAGAATATATACGAGCACGCTACTAAGATAGTATATGATGATATGGAAATTTCTAATTCATCCCATATAAAGTTTTTGGGAGTTAACATTGTAAACACATTATCTTGGAAAACTCATATTGACTTACTCATCCAAAAACTTAGCTCTGCATGTTATGCAATCAGAGCTATTAAACCATATGTAAATCAGGAAACCTTGTTGATGGTTTACTATGCTTATTTTCATTCACTTATTGACTATGGTGTCATTTTTTGGGGTAATTCTTCATATGCCATAAATATTTTTCGTTTACAAAAGAGGGTGGTTAGAATAATAACTGGTGCTAGTAATAGAAGCTCGTGTAGACAGATATTTACCACTTTAAAAATTCTTCCTCTATCATCCTTATACATTTATTCACTTTTACGCTTTGTGGTAGTTAACATGGATCAATATCAATTTGTATCTGATGTACATAACAGAGACACTAGACAAGGTTTTAACCTTAATCTTTATCAACCTTCAACTCATTTATCATTATACCAGAGAGGCTCGTATTATATGGGCATTAAATTATTCAATAGTCTTCCATTAAACCTGAAACAATTATACAGAGATGTCAAACAATTTAAATTAAAGATAAAGAAATTTTGTATAATCACTCATTTTATACCTTGGAAGAGTATTTTGTGTATTTTAATTGAAGGGTAATTTTGACACTGATCATACTCATGAGTTTTAGTTGTATTATTTATTTATATTTGTACACTGACTTAGTACTTTTGTACTGTTTATTTATTTAATTATTTGTACTTTATTTATTATACTTTGGAAGAGAATTCTGAGTATCCTTAAGATGTAGTATTAATCTGATATGGTCATATTCATATAATTTGTACAAAGGTGTTAACAGTTTTAAATTGAATCTGAAGAATTCTAGTCTTGTTACTCATGTTATGTATTGGAAGAGTATTTTGTGAATTTTAATAGGAAGAGTAAACTTAATGCTGGTTATTTTCTTGGGTTTTAGCTGTATTATTTTATTATATCTGTATGATTAGCATTTTGTGCTGGATTTTATTGTTGTTTCTTTTATATATGTGGAAGTGTATTTTGAGTATTTTTGAAAGGAAGGGTTGAATTGATACTCATTATGTTTTTTATGATCTCAGTAGTATTATTTAACATATCTGTATATTGACTTGGTACCTTGTACTGTTTTTATTTATGTGTTTTGTCTGACTTTTCCACATCCTCTGAATGTATTTCTAGTATTGGATTTATGGAAATAAAGACTACTACTACTACTAACATGTAAGAGAAAATCAAGTATTTATTTCAACTGTAGTTTAGTAGTCCCTTATACTGGTACCATCTTCAGCATGGGAACTAGCTGCAAAAAGCAACTGGATCCCACAGACTGCAGGCTCTTTCATTCTTCAATAGTTTGTGTGTGTGTCTCTCAGCCTTTTCCCTTCCATCCTTTGTGTGCCTGATTGCCTGCCAACAGGCATCAGCAGGTATCTCTGCCCATATTTTGTTAGTTCCTCAAACATAAATGCTTATGTTACTTTTGAAGCCTTGGCAAGTTTCTGATCAAACTGATGATATACAAGTTGATGGGCGGGCAGTACACAAGTCACACTTTTGTTCCACAATTTCTTGCTAAATCTGTGTGGAGGGATTAAGAGAGCAAGCACATGTGCATGTGTGTACAGAGGGCTGTTACAATGTTGATTTTTGCATAGTCAGGCTCTTGTCACAGAGGTTTTAACATACAGCGGAATCCCTGTATACAGTTTCTTTGGGGACCAGCAGATTTGAACACTAAAAATTTTAAATGGAGGTAGTTTAACAAAATTTACTGACTTGGGATCATTGAAACTGAACATTAAATAAAACAAAACCTTAAACTGAGAAACATTAAATAGGGGGGTTCTACTGCAGTGTACTGATTAAAATAAAGACTTACACTTACACTTGATAAATATAATGCTAAGATATTATAAATTACAAATAAAACAGCTATCAATTACATTCAAACCACACAGTCTTAGTTTACTAAAGAATTACATACAACAGGGATTCCTACAAAATTCCTCCTTTCCAGAACTCTGTTCAAAGGATTTACTTTGAGACAAGCTGAATTCTCAGACTTATGATTATAATATAAATTAAATTTATGCGCAGGTTAGCATTCACATGGAAATTTCTGTTGACATCCCATGAACCCTAAACTGGGAATCTGTAACATAATCTATAGACTCACTTGTAACTTCATACCTTCATTAAGAAAGGAATCCTCTATCAGTTAACAGACATCCTTACCTAAAGGCCATGATCTGACGGACTTCTGTAGGGGTCAGTCTCCAAGTAAGAGAACCAGAATTACTTCCCCAGTAGTCTGAAATCTCAGTCACTCTCTCCAGGTTAAGTATAGTTGCCATCTGTGTCAGGCGGGCAAATTTGTCACGAATGGACCATGACGTGGTGCTGGTCAGGTAACTCACCAGAGCTCGTACTTCTTTGTCAAACACTAGTCCTCCCAACTGCAAAAATTATGCATTGGACGAATTCTCAAGCCTTCCACATCCTTCTGAGAAGTGGGCTGTGTCTCCTGCTAAAAGCTGTTAATTTCACACACTACTTCATCTTTACAGGGGTGCACGGTAACATAATTGGTTGAGGCACTGTGTTACAAGCAGGAAAGTTGTGGGTTTGATTCCCAATGAGGTCACTGGATTTTTCAATTGGCCTAATCCTTCCAGACTCAATATTGCCCTGAGGTCAACTCAGCCTCTAAAAGAAGTGAGTACAAGGAATCTTCCAGGAGCTAAAGGGTGGCCAGCACATAAAGCTGACAACCTCACCATCATCTATGAGCTGACTGTCTACAAACTGTGGAAGCCTCAACATCTCACAACCCCATGGGCCTCCATGGCCTGTTACAGGGATAGCTTTATCTTTTTTACTTTATCTTTATAAGTAATGGGTATTCAGCAGAAATAGGTATGCTCAGATCCCTATGCCAGCCTTTTAGACTCCTCATCTGTGATCTACCTACACAATGCAGGAGTTTAGAAATTTATTTTAGTTTCAGTAAAGAAAAAAATAGACAGTTTGAAGCAGTTTCATAGTAATGGTAAAGTTCCTGTTACATATAAAATGTTGTTAAATGAAAATGGAGATAAATAGAACTGATAAGAGGAAAACTGAAATGGTCCCAAATGAAATTTTTAAGAAGAGTGGCTGGCTATCCTCTACAAGATTAAACAAGTAATACCATTATTTGTAGTGTATTACAAATATTTAACATAAATGGAAAGTTTAGTGGTCAAACAAAAAAAAAAGGATGGCAAACACAAACACCCCTCATGAATGAATCCAAGCAGAACATTTCAACAAGCCATGAATATCTACATGATAAGAACCGGGCTCTTGGGCCTTCCTGAAATTGCTCTGAAAAGTGCATTTATCAAATAATATATCTCAGACATAACCACATCTACACTTGTCAAAACAGGTTTAATTTAAGAAAATGTCTTGTTAAATTCACTTAGCACGCCACTGAGTTCTTTATTAATTCCTTAAACAAATTCGGTCTTCAACCAGTACCATTTCTGGAAATGAAGTAACATCAGAATTTTAAATATCAAAGCAACAGAATTTAAACATTTCATACATACACACACAAACACACACACACACAAAATAAATTCAGGGAAAAAAAAAGAACATTGAAAGAATGTTCGCAGATGACATGCCTAAAGTATAAAATATCAATCTGGTGGAAGAAAATACTCAAAAGAAACCTCTTAAACAGACAGAAAGAGCATGTGTTAAATTATCTGTAATTAGGAATAATAATGGTAATAATGATGTGGGCACATCCCACATACTTACACGCTGTTTCACCGGTCTAACAGACAACACTCACTCCTAAGTCAAAATCACATTGCCGCACATTGCATTCATATTTATACAGCACTCGATGTCCAACCCACCTCTAGATCATCATGTGCGCTAACCAATCACATTGCTGGCAGCACTTGTATTTATACAGCAATCACTGTCCAGCCCACATTTAGATCATAATGTGCGCAAGCCAATCAGCGCTCACAATCACAACTGCAAGTTTCACTCCACCCATCAAGCATGGTATAAAAGGCAGATCCCAAAGTTCGCAATCGTGAGTGATCACATTCAGTTCAGAGCAATTGGTCATCAGAGTCATCAGTTATTCACTGCTACCAGACAGCTAAGGTAGCCGCCTCAAGGCATTTGAAGAGTGCAAGGTGAGTTTGTCATGCACCACTCTACTGGCCCACCTGGATCCATCCGCACCGCTTGCACTCGTCACAGATGTCTCTACATCTGCCATGGGTGCTGTGCTACAACGCGTAAGGAACACCTGGCAGCCCATTGCCTTCTTCTCAAAGAAGCTCAACCCGGTCAAACAGATGTGCAGCGCCTACAACCGTGAGCTACTGGCTATCTATGAGGCAGTAAGGCATTTCCGTCATATGCTGGAAGTGCGTCACTTCACCATCTTCACCGACCACAAGCCAATCACCTACACCTTCCAGCAGAAGCAGGATAAATGCTCACCCCAGCAGTGCAACCATCTAGACTTCATCTCCCAGTTCACAACCGATATCTGACACATCTTTGGGGAGGATGTTGTCGCTGACGCCCTCTCTCACATCGAGTCCGTCACTGTGCCACCACCTTACGACGTACTCGCTGCATCACAGGACAGCGACGACGAACTCTGAGCACTCCTGGGGTCAACCACCACCCTGCGGCTTGAGAAACTACCAGTCTCCGGTACCGCAGTCTCCATCTATTGCGACATGTCTACCGGGAGATCTCGGCCGTATGTTCCAGCGCCTCTACGACTCCAAGTGTTCCACTCCATCTACGATCTGTCACACCCAGGCACCAGAGCAACAACAAAGCTGGTCGCACAGTGATTTGTGTGGCCAGGCATTCAGAAGGATTGCTGGACCTGGGCATGTGCTTGCCAGTTCTGCCAGGACTCCAAAATCTCCTGCTACACAGTCACTCCACTGGGCGTGGTATAAAAGGCGGAGCCAAAAGCTGGCAATCGTGAGTGATCACATTCAGTTCAGAGCAATCGGTCATTAGAGTCATCAGCTCTTCACTGCTACCAGACAGCTAATTTAGCCGCCGCAAGTCTCCTGCGACCAGGCAACCCATGCAGCTGCCGCAACTCCAGCAACCGACCGTGGGCAGCTGTTTCTACCAGTGCACGCAGCACTACATCACCTGTCAGACAGGCCAGCTGAACGGCCGTAAGACTTGGCCTACTTCGGAGGAGCAAATTCTGCCAGCACACTCATGGTGGAACAAACTGCCCTTTGAGAGTCAGCCAACTTTTGAGCATCCCATATAGCTTCGCAACTATTCTGTAAATTCAATTTGTACAATTTAATATATACTCGTACAACTGTTACAGTTCTACGTGGTTGTCATTTAAAACATCGAAAATTCCATAATGTAAACAATCACTGCTCTTCCCCGAATGTGAGCTTGTGACATCTCAACAAATAAGTAAATAAAATTTACTTCCCCTCCATGCTCACATTCAAGGAAAGACGGGAATGTTTGTCTGTTTTTTAAATGTTTATATTTTAGGAGTTTACTTCTTATGATATGCAGTACCCTTCTTCTAGCAACTTTAGGCTCATTTCGTATCAACAAAGAACAATGTAAACAAAGGTGCTGAGCCTCTCCTATGACCTGTGGCAAAACACCTCAACCTACATGGCAGAAATACAATGCCTCCTTGGATTTGGAAGGGATTGTACTCTACTCAGCTCATCTGTAACCTCTATTGCCCATACAGCTATCATATGGCTGGATGGACAAACTGATGTTTTTAAAGGTGCTTCAGCAGGGAAGCACATGAGCGTAAAACTGCACTCTTTCTACCACTTACTGCATCACACTGACTACATTCTTCATATTCCTTTTAGTTTCTTGATTTGTGTGGCACCGTGTTTACTTGAAGTTGTCTTTAAATTTAGTCTGACACTTAATCACTGGCTTCTTTTTTTATTTGATATCTGTTTAATATCACCATCGGAACTATATTATTTTCTGTTGCTGCAACATCATTACTGCAAACTGTGCACAGTCCAGCATTTATGTGAGGTTTCTGGCACTGATTTTAGGCTTTCTTGGTGGTTCACTGTTGATGCTGATTCAAGACCCTGACAATGGGGGCAGCATGTAGCTCTGAAATGTTGGCATCACTGCTCACATTCACACCATTCAAAGATCCAAGAGGAGAATCAGTATTAACATAATTAATTCTAATAAATTTTCAGTTGTATTCACATTATGGGCTTCATACTTGAAATAAACATACAAGCACACACACAGATACAATACAATTTTATTCATCCTCACATAAATAAAAAACACAAAAACCTAAAATGTTAACATGTGCTTTCCTCACAGAAACTGGAAGGAACATTCAAGAAAAAGTGAGCTATAACTAGGGCCTGTGAGGTAAGGTCTTCCATGAACTTCTTACAACATAAGCTACTTCTCTGTAGATTAAAAAAAATGATGTTCTATAAATGCAAACAAAACAGAAATATATACTGAACTAATTTTTATGCCATACTAAATGCAAAGAAATTGCAAAATTCAAGAAAATAATTCTTAAACAGTGAGGTGTTAAAGGTTGGTGGGGCCAATTCACTCTGGCCTTTAGGGATAGGCCATCTCTGCTCTTACCGGGCCAATTCACTCTGGCCTTTAGGGATAGGCCACCCATGCTCTTACTAACTTATATGATAGCTTCAAAAAAATTCTGCATCAGAAGCAAATACAGCAGTATTGTGGCATGAAGACTTCAGATATGGTTGCTGTCTCAAAACTATCTGAAGCTGCCACATGTAATAGACAATCCATATACTAACCTATGAAAAATGAAATAAATCACATGAAAAGAACATTGATGCTAGCTGTCAGGGTGTGCCAATGTCTGAATATATCTCATTAGAATCAAATGTCACTTATGGGTGAACAATAATTACCCTGTTGAAAGTAGACTTGATCACAACTTTTTCCATTTGAGTGGTGACCTCAGTTGCTAGGATGCTAACCAAAGTATCATAGTTGCTTGTGGTGAGAGAGCCCCTGAACAGCCCCAACAGTCCCTCCAAGTTCATTATCAGGTTCTGAATAAATGGCTCATTTGCTTCATAACTGGCAAAGTCCTCCTGAAAATGCAAGGAATTATTACTTACTTACTTAGATACTCATGGAGCTGAGCCCTTCTTGAGGAGCTGCCAACTGTGAAGGTACTCAAGAATTTCCCAGCATTTCATGGAACCCAAAGGTTCATCACCATATTCACAGGAGCCCTCCACTGGTCCATCCCCTGAGCCAGATCAATCCAATCCATACCCCCCCATCCTATCTCTCTACGATCCACTTTAATACTGTCCACCCACCTACACCTTGACCTTCCCAGTGATCTCTTTCCTTCTTGCTTTCCCACCAATAACTTATATGCATTCCTCGTCTCCCCATTTGTGCTACATGCCCTGCCAACATCACCTCCCTGGGGCTGTGCCATAGCTCAAGCGGTTAGCCGCTGGCTTCCCACTGTGGCAGCCCAGGTTTAATCCCGGGTCTGTTCAAGTGGGATCTGTGGTGGACAAAGTGGCACTAGGGCAGGTTTTCTCCTAGTACTTTGGTTTCCCCTGCCAATCTTCATTCCACCAATTGCTCCACAATCACCCTCACCTATCATCTGGGGCTGGTACAATAGGCCAGAAGTGGCCGCTGTGCAAAGGACTTACTCCCACCCCACTAGCAATAAAAAAACTCAACCCCCTTCATTTAATCATTCTAATTATACTTGGAGAATAGTACAAGTTGTGAAGCTCCTCATAATGAGATTTTCTCCAACCTCCTGTCACTTCATCTCTCTTTGGTCCAAATATTCTCAACATCCTGTTCTCAAACACTTCAGTGTATGTTCCTCCCTTAATGTCAGAGACCAAGTTTCACACCAGATACAGAACCACAGGCAAAATTATATGGCAGGTTCGCTTAGGGCAGTGGCAGAAGAAATCTTAAAATATAAGTTAGATTTAGCAGGAGTATGGGAGGTCAGATGGGACAGAGGTGGCATTGAACCAGCAGGTAAATATATATTTTTCTATGGAAAGGGGAATGAAAATCATGAATTCGGTACAGGGTTCTTAGTACATAAGAGAATCATCTCAGCAGTTAAGAGGGTAGAGTTTGTTAGTGACAGGATATCATATATAATTCTGTATTTCAGCATCCTGTTGCAATTGTTTAACTTAATGTCCATGTATTTATCGTCTGTCAATATTGCAACACTTCTTTATTCTACATGTTTCAGCCCCAAACGGCCATCTTCAGGTGTCTTGATATGTTACAAATGTTTCATTAAATTATGTTAAAACTGCTACACTGTCTTAGTCCATGTTAAAATCACACGCCGTAGTTCTCTTTTAAAGGCAAAACCAGATAAAATCCTTTAAAGTTTCTATTATACCCATGTTATTTTGGTGTATTTTATTTCACCTCACACGGGGTGTCGTCCATTTTTCATAAATGTATGTCTGTCCAGGGTGTTTTGTTTCAGCAGCTTGCCCCNATATGTATGTCCAGTGTTCAATATGTGACTTGAATATCCTGAGTTACTGTTGTTACTTTTTATGTCGAGAATGTTTTCTTTATATCAGGTCTTGAATGTTCTTCCTGTTTGCCCAACATATTTCAATGGGCAATCTAAACATTTCATTTGATAAATCCCACTTCTATTATACTTATCTATTTGTGGCTGTGGCTTAGTATATTTTGTATTGTGTTCTGCGTATGGAAGGTTCCTAGATTTTCTAGTGTTTTATTTATTAGGTTTTTAATACCCATTTTCGGTATGTTTGTATACATATTCTCTATATCAAACGAGCAAAGTTTCATATCCTTGTTGAGCATGATGTCTTTTAGGTCTGTCATTGGCTGCATGGGATTATGAATAAAGTGGCCTTCCATATGCAGAACACAATACAAAATATATTAAAGCCACAGCCACAAATAGATAAGTATAATAGAAGTGGGATTTATCAAATGAAATGTTTAGATTGCCCATTGAAATATGTCGGGCAAACAGGAAGAACACTCAAGACCTGATATAAAGAACACATTCACGACATAAAAAGTAACAATAGTAACTCAGGATATTCAAGTCACATACCAAACACTGGACACACATACGGCAAAATAGTAGACACCATGGAAATCATAACAACGGGAAGAAAAGGAAAATATTTAAATACACTTCAGAAATACCATATTTACAAAACTAGTAAAATAGATTTACATATGAAAGACACCAACATCGACACACACAACCCTATACTTGAAATACTATACAAAATTACACAACATAACACTATACTCTCCCCCATCTCTCCCCACTCCTCACAACTAGGGCATATAAATACAGGAACAAACACACCACATCTGCACTAGTAAAGACAACACCACACGCTGTGGAGGAAACATGCAAACCAGGGGCATGTGAGTACAAAGTAAACAAACATAACATAATAATAATAACAAACAAAGAGAAAACAACATTAATCTAGGGATCTTATCAATTACAGATGGCAGTCATAACTGAAAAGTAAGCTACGAACGTGAGGGGCAAGCTGCTGAAACAATACACCCTGGACAGACATACATTTATGAAAAATGGACGACACCCCGTGTGAGGTGAAATAAAATGCACCAAAATAACATGGGTATAATAGAAACTTTAAAGGATTTTATCTGGTTTTGCCTTGAAAAGAGAACTACAGCGTGTGATTTTAACATGGACTAAGACAGTGTAGCAGTTTTAACATAATTTAATGAAACATTTGTAACATATCAAGACACCTGAAGATGGCCGTTTGGGGCTGAAACATGTAGTGTCAAAGTGTATAATGTTAAACTAAAGTTAAAATTAAGTAGTGAATAAACAAGTGTTGCAATACTGACGGATGATAAATACATGGACGTTAAATCATATATAATACTAAAAGGAATTATTACTTCTGGCAAAAATTCAGGAAATTATATATTTATCGATATGTGTACCATGTTTCAGATAACATACTTAAAATTTAAAACAACGAATATTTTAATATAACTGAGCTAAGCAAATTTACAGAAAAGCGGCATGCAAATACAGAAATTGCTTACTGCTGACAGTACAGGTATAGGTAAAAAATTAAACCCCAATTTTTCCAGGATTTTATAATTTTGCAATCACCAGATCACAGTGAACTATGTCATGTTCCACAGTCATCACACTGGTATTGTTAATCCATTGTCATAGGTTTATGGAACAGTTTCCTATAATGCTTGCATCCAAAAATCTTAACCACAGTGGGTTAATGAAGTGAAAAAGAACCAAGATGGATTAGTCTCCAATGGCATTCTGCTTGTAACGAGTTTCACAAAAAAACTGGCCAGAACTGAAACAGGAGATAGACAGACAAGAAATTCAACAGGTAATGCACTCAAATTGTGGATGGACCAGTTGTCCCAGGCTAGTACAGGAACTTCAAAGGTGGGTTGTCACCAGTACATGCTCTGTTATGACATTAATAGTTTTTGTTTCAGGCATTGATTTTAACAGAACATTTAAACATGTGCACTATCTGAAGAGAGTTCCCTTTCCACTCTCTGCAATGTGATATCACCATAACCTGGAACCAACCGCTAGTCACAATTTGGTGCTAGACTGCCATAGACACGGTAGCAGAGGCATACAAATATCACTGCTATGACACTGTTTGTAGTTACCTGCATAATGCAGTTACCTGCATATGACCAACTGGCAACATGTGAATCATTTGAAAGAAATGGTGTTTTTACATGAGAAAAGACAAAAACTAGTTTCTGCATCATGCCACATACTCCTGTAGAGAAGCCCTTCAAGTTTCTAGGGGATTTATGTGATACCTTATAATTCAAGGTTCAAATCCTAGATTTGGGAAATATTCCCCATCTCCAGCTAGAATGAGGTGCTACTGCTGGACAACAGGCCTTTCATGATTTTGCTTCTTGATTTCCTTGTGTCGAGCTATGCTGGTTCCTCTTCCATAAGCACCAGTGACATCTGGAAAACTTAATGCAGGTGGAGGAGGCAATACTATCATAACAATAACCTGTTACTCTCAGTGAGATGCCTGTATGAAACGCATTACATACTGGTGCCATGTATCTATTACCTTATTAATAAAGTCAAGGAGTTTGTACTGTTAGGGTCATTTTATCTTAAATTAGCAGCAATAAGTACGAATGGGGAAATAAAGCAGTTATACAGCTGGGTTCAAAATTATGGTCATAAATCATGAAAAAAGGAATGGAAATCATGGTCTTTTTCCTCATAAAACTCTTCCTTATCTCAATAGTATGCTGAAATTTCCCTAACCTCAATACAATGTGTTAATAGTGTGACATGTTGACCCCTACCTCCCCAGCTGCACGTAGCGGTAATGTACCGCTCGCGTAATAGGCGAGTAATTACCCCGCATCCTGGTAGCTATGCAACGCGCGGTGACGTCACGAGCGGAGCCGAAGTGAGCCGAGCGGTGCCGATGTTAGCCGAGTCCCCACGACCTTGAAGCTATGCAAAGCGAATCAACAGCGGTGACGTCACTGAGGGATATCGCGGTTGTTAGGCAGCAGTCAACAACTCCGGACAGCGTGGCTAGCAACACGGCACCAGACGACAATTGTCCGATCGAGGCTACATGAGGAGCAGCGAAGGCTATTCACAGTCAGTCCTGTAGCTACCTCCGAGTTAGTTCCGAGTTAGTCAGTCAGCCAGTCAGTGCGTTACCAACGAGTTCTCAGTTTGCAAGTTACGAGCTACAGACGCGTGTGCGATAACCAGTGATCAATAGTTATATTCGGAGTGTGTAATTCAGGGAGACTTGTATAGCTCCCGCGTTATTAATATGTGAAGACTCTTGAAGATAGTGTTAAGAGATTTTGTTGTAGGGTTTGTAAAGTGTGGAAACCCATAATATTGTGATAATTAATTGTAGCCGTTATTTGAAGATTGTTAAATAAACCAATTAACCATCTCTACGGCGTCTTCTGTAACGAAACACGTTACCCACTTCTGACACCAGAAGAAGGTAAACGAGGCCCTCCGACAAGCACTAGAGCTGCAAGCGGTACTGATAGCAGCTAGACCTCATGAAGATAGCACCAAGACATACCGGAAATACCGATCGTCCCCCACCCAACGAGGAGACGGAAGACATTTCCGAGTTGTAAAGTAACAGTCGCCAAGTCGAGTTGTAATGTGGGCAGTCACCGAGTTGTACTGTAACAGTCGCCGAGTCGAGTTATAACGTGGCCATCACCGAAGATAGTTCCGAGCAAGCCTACGAGCGAGTGTGTTATCAACAGTTCTCCAGTCAGCCGACTACAAGTTGGAGTATAGCAGCTGTCGCGGATAGAAGACTCCCCTACTGTCAACGTGTATACTACTGAACACAGAGTGAACTGATTTGCGCATAGGGTTATAAATCGTGAAACCCCGCAACAGTGTTAACAGATTAATGCGATTAGGGTTATAAAGTGTGAAACTCCGCAACTGTGTGATAATTAATTGTAGCCGTTTCTTGTAGATTGTTGAATAAACCAATTAACAATCCGTACGGCGTGTTCAGTAACGAAACACGTTACAATATTATGCTCTGAAAGAAATATTCATAATTTTAAACAACACAATTTTGACATATATACTTGGTTAAAAAGGTGCATAAATTACATTAGTAAATGTGGTATTTATTTTACAAACAAAAGTTAATAATTCTTTTTTGTACCCAAGAGATATTAAGTAGGGAATTAGTACATACTAAAACACAGTGTGCCTTTTAGAGTATATTAACGTCACTTTTCTTAAAGTTTTCCACCAGGAATTTTAGAATTTCATTTTTGATTGAGTTAATTTTTCTGATATACTATATATATTAGAGTCAGGTGTAGATCACTACTGAAGTACAGTAAAAACCTAATTTATGGGGCCTGCATTTTACATTTCCTTTCTTTTAATTTTTTGTGGTCCGAACCAAAGCTCCATATGACTATGAATTATTTTCCTCGACTCAACAGTTCTTCGATTAATGGTTCACATGCATCTTACATACAAACCTTTGATTCCTATGCATTTTGGATCTCATTTTAACATTAATAGGAATTGTTTTACATGTTCCAACTCATATGCAGCCACCCTTGTGAGGTTCAAGGTCACCCTCTGAACAGCTTGCAGAGATTAGTAAGGTAGGCATCTTACTAATCTGTGGTAGGCAGGGTGGATGGCTTGGTCTACACATATTAGGTACTCCTATATTTAGATGACTATAGTTATGCTATGGTGTTTTGTTGTCTCATACTTGTTTCTTGGAGTGTCAAAATGAGGAAGCTCTGTGGCTCACTTGTGGTTCCTTGTGGTCAGAGTGTTGCACTGTTTAAGATTACCTACAAAGTCAAAATGTTGCACTGTTTTGGAGTATCTGAACACTCAAGATTCTTGGGCTGTTTATGAGGACCTAAACTCTGCCCGCCAGGAACCATAACTAGGCCATGGAACTGTTTTTAAGACACAAAAAATGCCTCAGCACAACAATAATAACAGAATGCAGTGATGTACATCTGCGAATTTTAACACAATATTGGTTGTAATATTTTATACAAACTTATGACTCTGATTTTAATATCCTTGTTTTTATGTATTAAGTTGTAATGCCCCTTAATATGTACACTCCCTGACGATGGTCTCATGAGACCAAACCATGTTGGGATATTAACAATATGAGAAATAAACAAGACATACTTAGATGGTGATTTACGTCTGACTCAAATTGAAATTTCTTGTTTTTATCATGTGATCTACATCTACACCATAATGATATTTGCTGAAAAGAACAAACTGTGAAGCTTCTCATTATGCAATTTTCTCTTAATTCCTCTGTTACTTCATATTCCTTAGATTTTTAATATTATCCCCAACACTGTGTTCTGAACACCCTCAATGTGGTTCTTCCCTTAAAGTAAGACACTAAGTTTCACATCCATATTAAACAACGGGTAACATTTTATATTGTGGCCTTCTGAGTTTTGATTCCATTTAGTTTCAAAGGCAATTACCACCAATTTTTTCACAGCAATCTACTGCCTCCCTTTTCAGGGTTGAGATGGAGACAGGTTTCTCTGAAATGTAAGTAACCATGCATCAAACAACATGGTGTTATAACTGGGAACACCACAATCACAACAGTGGAAATCTCAAATTTCATACAAACAAATTTTAGTTTTGTCAGTCTTTGGGTTTATAGAGGGATGACAGAAAATTGAAAGATTCAAAATGAATGGCAGTATACATCTCCAGATTTATTTTGCTCATATGTCATTATAAACATAATTTTCATTTGTTGGTGTCATTTCCTTGTACTTAATCTCTGTCAGATCATTACAGGATTAAATAGCTATTCCTATGTTATGATATCTTTCTGTATTCCAGTAATGAGACTTGAACATGAACATGAAGTGAAACTCCTAGTTTCTTTTGCAAGCAATGAATTTGAACACTATACTGATCAAAGTCTTAACTGGTGGTATTTAACACTAAGATCATTGACTTGGGATGAATATTAAATCAGAGAGAAACATTAAAAGGCAGTTACACTGTATTTTATTTTTAGCATATATTTCTGTATCAACATACTTACTAACTTCTAATAGAGTTTGTGCATTTTCTTTTATGATATTGTGACATGTTGACCCCTACCTCCCCAGCGGCACGTGGCGGTAACGTAGCGCTCGCGTAATAGGCGAGTCATCACCCCGCCACTCTCGACGCGGTGATGTGCCAAGCGGAACCGAAGTGAGCTGAAGTTAGCCGAGTCCCCGCATCCTGGCAGCTATGCAACGCGCGGTGATGCGGAACCGCTTCCTACTGTGACGTGGCACGTAACAGGCACCACTGCGTCTATATAAGGGAACTGCACAGCAGCTACGAGTTAGTCGTAATGTGGCCATCGCCGAGGTTGGTTCCGAGCAAGCCTACGAGCAAGTGTGTTATCAACAGTTCTCCAGTGAGCAGACTACAGTTGGAGTATAGCAGCCGTCACGGAAGAAGAACCGGACGTGTGTGTGATTGTGTAATTGGGAGTGTGTGAGAAGAGATGGCCGCCTGGCGAGAAAAGACTTCCGCGGAGACGAGAGCAACCCCAGCAAGGACGGCACAACAAGAAGAGGTCCCCATAATGATACCGGTCGGAGAGACGATGGCCTGCCTAGTAATGGGGGCACGTCAAAAAGAAGATCCGGCCTCAGCGAACAGGAAACCTGAGGCGCAGATCTACGAGAGGTACCCGTAAAAGACGCCAAAATAATGGCGGTCGGAGAACCGAAGAAGAAAAGGCGTAGGGACCGAAACAAGCAACAAAAGAAAGTTTCGACATGGAAAAATTGCGGACCCCAGAACAAATTGGCCATCGTTTGCAGGAAGGTGTCCCGACATGCAACAGTGGCATGGCATCGGAGGAACATCGTCCGAAAATCTTGGACCCAAGGAGATCATGAATCCCGGATGAAGTTGGCTGCCATCTGCAGGAAGATATCCCGTCGCTCAACAGTGGCACGACGTTGGAGAAATGCCTCCAAGAAGGAAACTCCCCAGGGAACCTTTGGATACCGGAGAAAGGACTTGGCACCAAGGTCTTGTACCAGCCAGAGGTGGGAAGTCCAGAAGGAACAATGACGTCAGCGAGTGCAAACAACGCATCAAGAGCTGTTACGTCGATGTAAGAAATTTCCGACGAAAGACCTGATGAAGGATTGGACCTTGTGGAGGGGACGACCCCCTCCAAAACGGAAAAAGGGACGTCAAACAGAAGAGGAGCTGGTAAAATAGAAGAACCGGCTTCCCCAGTGAGAGTGAATGTGCCACAGAATGAAAGTGATGGATGAATGGGACACAACTGGATTTTCTGGCGAGCTGAAAGGAAACCGCTCGAGACGAGTTGGTCTTAAGAGGGGAGCGGATGTAATGGACGAAGAACAGTCGCTGCAAGAAGAGTAGCCGAAACAACAGGAGACACTGCAAGAACAGCCTTCAAGGAAAAGGAATGGGGGAAGCACCGTTCGGCTATTCGGGACGAACAGCCTTAAGGAGGGAGTAGTGTGACATGTTGACCCCTACCTCCCCAGCGGCACGTGGCGGTAACGTAGCGCTCGCGTAATAGGTGAGTCATCACCCCGCCACTCTCCCCGTGGTGACATGCCGAGCGGAACCGAAGTGAGCTGAGCAGAGCCGAAGTTAGCCGAGTTCCCGCATCCTGGCAGCTATGCAACGCGCGGTGACGCGGAACCGCTTCCTACTGTGACGTGGCACGTAACAGGCACCACTGCGGCTATATAAGGGAACTGCACAGCAGCTACGAGTTAGTCGTAATGTGGCCATCGCTGAGGTTGGTTCCGAGCAAGCCTACGAGCAAGTGTGTTATCAACAGTTCTCCAGTGAGCATACTACAGTTGGAGTATAGCAGCCGTCGCGGAAAGAAGAACCGGACGTGTGATTGTGTAATTGGGAGTGTGTGATACAGTGATACATAGCTCCCCTACTGTAAACGTGTAGACTACTGAAGACAGAGTGAGCTGATTTGCGCATAGGGTTATAAATCGTGAAACCCCGCAACAGTGGTAACAGATTAATGCGATTAGGGTTATAAAGTGTGAAACCCCGCAACGGTGTGATAAGTAATTGTAGCCGTTACTTGTAGATTCGGTAGCTGATGCTTTCCATTCACTTGGAATCCCAATTCTCCTGGACTTTCGTAACAAAGTATGGAAGAAAGTTTCCTTATGTTCTACACCATGACAATTAGTGAATGTATTACAGAAGTGTTCATATCCACAAATTATACTTCATATTTTTATCTTTATGATTTAAGACAGGAATGAACAAAAATAAAAGCTCCTGAATTGAATAATAACAACATGCAGTTCCATTCAGAATATTAAAACTTGCCTCTGAAAGTTGATGATTGACAGAGAGGAAAGCGTCCACCCATGGATTCACTCGAGGTTTGATGGCACTCACTCTGAGCTGCTGCATCCCATAGTCAATAACAGCCTTCAAACTGGCTGCTACAGAGCCCAAACCAGATAAACAGCTTTCCAACTTAACTTTTTCATTTTCTGACATGGCTGTCAACACAGAAGGGACTTCATCCGCCAGGCTTCTTCGCAATGTGTCAGTGTATTCTGTGCTCACATCAGCATTGTTCAAGTAAGCCTATTTGAAAAGGGCAGGATAGTCAAACTATCATACACAAACTTTGCTCCTGTCTTGTCTGGGTAAAATTATATTCTCTTGAAGAATTCAAGTGAATGAGTATTCATAAAAGCATTAGGCCCCTGCTTTTGAGCAAAATTTTGACATGTTGCACTGATAAACAAAATATAAAATTAATATCAATCACTGTATGTACAGAACATCAGACAGAGAATTTATTGAATTGAATTGAATTTATTTACATTCTATAAATCCTAAGCAGGTTAGTACCTTTGGATACAGAACAAGTCAAAAGGTTACATACATAAGTATGGGCAATTTTAGCTTAAAAATTAATATAACTTAATTTTACATCATTCTCTATTTACATTGAAGTATTCATCTAAAGAGTAGAAGGAATGAGCATGTAGATAATTCTTTAACTCTGATTTAAACTTTTTAGTATCATTGCCCAAGTTTTTAATACTTTGTGGCAGATTGTTGAACACTTTTATTAAAGTAGACTCCTTTTTGATATACTGATAAAGTTGATGAGGGTAGGTGGAAGTTATATTTTTGTCTAGTATTCTTGTTATAGACATTAGAATTTAATTTGAATTTATCTTTGTTGTAAACAACAAATAGGAGAAGCGATAATATGTATTGCGATTGAAGCGGTAGAATTTTTAATTTCTTAAATAATTCTCTACATGAATCTCTACTTCTACATCCTGTAATTCAGGCACTGAAGATAAAAGAAAACCCCATGACTGAAAATTAACCTTTATAACACACTAAATTTGATTGTATTTACTCACATAATTTACACCTCCACATAATTTATATACATTACTAGAAAAGATATTTTGAGAAAATTTAAATACTGCATTTTTATCCTTGATGCAATTTTGACTGAAGTATGATTTTCATGGAAAATGCAGTTAAAGTCAAATACACTATGGCAACGGCAACATTATATGGATGGAGTGGCAAGTTTGTGTAATACTGTGCAAAGCAAAAGCATTCATCTGAAGATCCTTAAGTCTTCAACTGGAATATCAATGGCTGAATTGAAATTGAGATTTCTATATCTCAGTTTAACCTAAAAGATTTGAGACTTGCACATGCCAACTGTCTCATGTTATTACAGAAAGAGGGCATGAGAAATGTCCATCTCAAAACATTAAAACAGTCCTTCACGATATCACTGCAAAATCAGCCAGGAGGAAAATCCAAGACTAACTACTGGTTTCCTGAATCTGCATGAACATAAATGAAAATGGAACAAAATGACCAGTTACAGAGTCTCAGTAAACATGATAACAAGCAATCAAATTATGAAGTATAATAAACATTATATATATAAAATCCAGTTTGATACATGTTTACTCATGAAGAGGGCACGGCCTCCAAGAAAAACACTGAAATAATACAGTATATAGCATGGCTGATGTCTTTTTTACCACCGTTTTCCTGTAACAGCATGTTCTGAGAGTATTTACATAAACTGTTTCAAAGAAAAGCTGAGAGAGGAAGGAAGCAGGAGATGGAATGATGATAAAAGGGACAAACAAAAGAATGAGAAAGGAATATGGGAGAAAAAAGGAGAAGCAATACAGGTACAACTGGGATAAAGGAAAGGATAGGTGGTAGGGGATGAGGTATGAAGATCTGAAAGAAATTATTTCCCTGACACTAATCTGTGCATGTTCTAAAATGTCATGATACAAATCCTTAAATTCTTTCATGATTTCCCAGTCCATTTAAGAAAATACCAAGTCAGAAGCATGAAATATAAAAAGCCTGCTTCATTCCACATTCCTTCTAAATCACTATAATGATATCACAGTTATCACTGGATACCAAATTACATTTGCAGTTGATACATTGTACTCAGTAATAATAATTATATGTTATATTTTAGCGTCCTGTTCAACTGATTCATATCCATGATGTGTATTTTTGCTAACCGTCTTATAGTGTACACAATTTCACTTTTCTCTTCACTTTTACACTATGTGTTTCGGCACTAATGTGCCATCTTCAGGTGTGTCTCTATACACATCAAACTACTGCACTGCATGCTATCACTTCTCCATCATAAAATGACTAAAATAAGTATTCGTCATGTATAACAACAAATTCTAAATACTAAAACCTTTCAGGATTCATCATCCATACGTCGTATCTCAAATATGCGAGTCACGCCAATCCTCCTCTATGGAAGCACTCTTCCTACTTTTGTGTATATTGTGCTCTGTGTTGTGTCCTTCTCTTGTGAAAGTAGAAAGAGTGCTCCCATAGAGGAGGATTGGCGTGACTCGCGTATTTAAGATATGGCATATGGATGACAAATCCTGAAAGGTTTCAGTATTTAGAATTTGTTGTTATACATGACGAATACGCATTTTAGTCATTTTATGATGGAGAAGTGATAGCATGCAGTGCAGTAGTTTGACGTTGATAGAGACACACCTGAAGATGGCACATTAGTGCCGAAACACGTAGTGTAAAAGTGAAGAGAAAGGTCAAATTGTGTGCACTGTAAGATGGTTAGCAAATATACACATCATGGACAATAATTATATGTACAGGGGATGGACAAAAATATGGAAACACCTCGTGAAATGTATGCCTAAATTGAAGTGTTTATTTTAGCGACGTTTGTAGGTTACGATGTCGTATCTGCCCAACAGCACCACCTGTATAACTTCTGCAATACGTTGCAAGCTTCACTTGTTGTCGAGACAGTGTTCTGTGCAGTTTTTAGTGCATCATGTCAGAGCTAACAGAATTCGAACGCGGGCAAATTGTTGGGGCCTGTATGGTGGGTGCTTCTGTAACCAAGGTAGCCGAGGTTTTTGGTGTTTTGCGAGGCACAGTATCCAAGATTATGACCGCACACAGGAGGACTGGAAAAACCGCATCTGATAAATACCAGCGTGGACGGAAATGTGTGTTACGTGATCGAGACAGACAAACATTGCGTAGGATTGCGACAAAAAATAAGAAAACTACATCTGCAAAAGTGACTGCTGAACTGAATGTCACGTTCACAAACCCTGTCAGCACCAAAACAGTATGACAGGAACTCCATGAGCAGGGTATTTCTGGACGAGCTGCAATTCCAAAGCCACTCATCAGTGATCAAAATGCCACTAAGAGGAGAGTGTGGTGCCGAAGTCATAAAACCTGGACTACGGACCAATGGAAGACGTTCATTTGGTCGGATGAGTCCACCTTCACACTGTTTCTGACTTCTGGCTGAGTTTACGTCTGGAGAACGCCATCCAAAGCTTACAATCCAGATTGTTTGCTGCCAAAAGTGAAACATGGCGGGGGTTCCATCATGGTATTAGGAGCCAGATCGTGGTATTCTGTCGGACCCATCATTACCCTGCAAGGCCACTTCCCTGCCAATGACTACGTGACCATTCTGGGCTACCAGGTAAATCCCATGGTGCGAACTTTATTCCCCAATGATGATGCCATTTACCAAGATGACAATGCCCATGTTCACACAGCTCGCATCGTCCAAAACTGGTTTTCTGAGCACTAAGATGAAGTGACACATCTGTCATGGCCCCCACAATCGCCAGATATCAATATTATTGAGCCTTTGTGGTCTGTTTTGGAGAGCAATCTGCGTGCACGCTATCCACCCTCTCATCGATAACAGAACTTGCCAATGTTTTGCAGGAAGAATGGTATAAGATTCCCTTGCAAATCATACAGGACCTCTATTTATCCATTCCAATGAGACTGCAAGCCAGAGGTTGTCCTACTCCATATTAGTCATGGTAATGTGTTTTTTGTTGGGTGTTTCCATATTTTTGTCCATCCCCTGTATATGCCTGGAAGGCTCAGCCATACAAGCACTGAAGTGCCACTTTCATCCTATCAAAGCAGTTATTACTGCAGTTTCACCTTCATGTTTGCACTTAAAAATTAACTCAATGGAGTTCAGGGATAACTACAGCATGTGCACACACCAACATAAACAATTCTCAACTGACCTACTTCGGTCCTCATGAACACATGCATTTATGCCAGCACTAAATTTTCTGCATCCACATAACCAAGGCAGTACGACTTGATCTGGGAGAGTTAGTATCTTGGCTGGGTTACTGGCTAACATGATGAGCGTCTTCTTTCCATGATTTACCTGTTTTTCCAAATAAATGTTGGGATAGTGCCTTGAAATGGGGCATGACATGCTTCCTACCAAATCCCTACCTACACACAATACATGAGAATAATCCCACCTCACTTTACACTATATACCCTCTGCAGCTGAAACTATGTAACTCCATAATGCAGGGACCATGACTGCTCAGTTGGTCAATAAATTGGCTGACTTTATGGGAACCAAAAGTTCACTGCCATTATACTCTAAACTGAGCCACATTAATCCAATTTATACTATCACATCCTACTTCTGTAACGTCCATTTTAATATTATACTCCCATCTGTGTTCAGTTCTTCCAGCTGCTCTCATTCTTTGAGGTTTTCATCTCTCCCATGCTTGTTACATGTCTACCAATTTCATCCACCTTGTTTCAATCACCATAAAAATGAATAAATTTACGAAGAACCTTAACAAGTGATTTCTTCCTCTAAGGTCAAACAATATTGTTAAAAAGATGCATGCTACATAAAATAAACCATTCTTGGGACAAGACTGTTCTGTACAAACAGAAAACTCACAAGGAACATAAGGCGTGCTTGTTCTGAATCTGATGTCTGAAGGCGTCCCTGCTGTATGGAGGTGTGCAGCACATTGTATGCTTGTGTTAGGTCCAGGTAGCCAGATGGATAGCCCTGCCGCAGCTGCTGTTTCAGTACTTCACAGAAATCAGTCTCTAGCAGAGCACAAGCATTATTGATAACAGCACACACCCCATCTAGGCTAGAACTGGTGCTAGCACGACTGAAACAATACAGTACAGATTATGCATGTTACTGTAGCAGTAATGCTCTAGACTTGTATTCTGGAGGCACTCAGCTTGAATCTCAACCAGGACATTGGCTATACTGACTGGTCTCCTCATTCCTCCTGGGAATTCCCATGAGTGTACCTCAATTAAGCCATGGCCTTTTCCCTTCAAATCAGTATACTGAATAATTATTCACCACTCATCCTACCACTTGATACCATGTAATACATATGCTGATAGCAATGTAAAATAAACCACAACATAAAAAATTGAGTACAATGTCATAATGGCTCATCCTTATTCCTTTGAAGAGTGGGATTCTGGGATTGTCAGAGTCTTGTTTTTTATGCTAATATTTTGCATTTATTTAATTTCTTTATCAGATGAGACAGGCAATAGTATGCCATTTTTAGTGGTAACTGTCTTCAAGTATCTGACATTTTATTCCTGTCTGACATGCACAGATGACATATAATTCATTACTATCAATATACAACATTTATGTATGAGGGTAAGTCAATAAGTAAGTTACAAATGGATATAGAACTTAAACAAATAAAGAGTACTGATTTGAAAAATGCTTTTACGAGGGGGGACCCAAAAATAACCGGAAACGACCTGTTGCGTGCGCATGCTTTGTAGTTACGAGTTGTGCTGCTAGGTGGTGTTAGCTGGGGGTCTCCCGCGACTGCTAGTGAGCTGGCGTCAGTCTGAGTTAAGTGGTTTGTCTGTGGCGCTCTGTTGTGTGCGTTCCTGTTTCAACCCTTTGGCGATTAGTGAGATGGCCGACCAGAAGGAACAAAGAGTGTGCGTGAAATTGATGAAGATCGTTGAAAGACCACTGACCAACTTTCTGAGGAAACGAACATCTCATGGAGCACGGTCCAGCGAATTTTAACCGAAGGTTTGCACATGAGACGGGTGTCTGCAAAATTTGTTCCTCGCTTGCTTGGAGATGACCAAAGAGAAAACCGCGTGAATGTTTGCCGCGACTTGAAGAGTGAAGTGCAGTTTTCCCTAACAGAAAGCAAAATTTCACGCACACTCTTTGTTCCTTCTGGTCGGCCATCTCACCAATCGCCAAATGGTTGAAACAGGAACGCACACAACAGAGCACCACAGACAAATCACTTAACTCAGACTGATGCCAGCTCACTAACAGTCACGGGAGACCCCCAGCTAACACCACCTAGCAGCACACCTCGTTAACTACAAAGCATGCGCGTGCAACAGGTCATTTCCGGTTATTTTTGGGTCCCCCTTCGTATTTCTCAACATAATCTCCCTGTACATTGAGGCACTTATCCCATCGTTTCACAAGCCCCTGAAAACCAGCAGCATAAAATTCTTTGGGCTGCTGTCGGAACCAGGCATGTTCACACAGCATGCCTCACCTCATACTTTTTTGTCCCAATGTGAGAAAGTAAGAACAATTAGTGCTAAGTTATTGTCCATACTTTCTCACATATGATTGACCTTGACTAAATTATGTTGTAAACAAAACTGGCTCTTCCATGGTAGCTTGATTATGCAAGTGAGTATACAAATATGCATTGTGTAACCATCAGATACCTAGAGTACACACTGTTATTTCCCTGATATCATCTTTGCAATTTCATTCAGGGTAATGCTCTCCATACACAAGTGCGTGCGCATGCACACACACAAACACACAGGCAACATTCCAAAACCAACTTTTCATATTCAGAGGGCTGGAGAATGTGTAAATCTGCCAAAATGTTGAAATACAATTTTTCAACAACATAATACATTTTTATATCCATTATATTCATATATTTTTGCTAAAATTTTGATACCAATTTCTTTCACCATCACAATATGTTCTCAGTACTACATACATGCATAAGTAATATTAAGAAAGGGCTATATTATAAATAGCTAAACATTTCCATGGGTTGGATTGAAGTTTCTATGGGATATTTTGTATTTTATCTATCTCTGCTCTGATATACTGGTGTCTGTAAACTTGAGCCTGTAGATTCCACTGCATGTATTTTTGATGGAAACCAAGAATAAAAGGGCACCTTGCTGAATGCTGTAAAAAGCATGTTCAAAGAGTATGTGCAGTGAGTTGCTTTCCAAAGTGTGAAGAAGCAAGTTATGCAGAAAGAAACAATACATTCATGCATGCAACCTGTCTGGTGTCAAGCAGGGGCCTATGACACACAGTCATATGTTATCCAGTCCTCACAAGGATTCCCCACCACGCTTAGAAACCACTCTTGTGAATGAAGTGTTTTCTGGAATACCAAGTAGTGTTAATTGTGATATGCTGAATTCTTCCCTTGGAAATTCTTTTTTGTTGCTCCATAGAATGTAGACAAAAGTCTTTGGGTCTTCAGCATATTGCTGTAGTATGCACCGGCTAAATTCAACTCTTCTGCTGTTAAACCTAGCGATTAGTCGTACTGAAAAGAGTGTGGACCATCATCTTGCAGAATACCATATACAGAAAAATGGAAAAGTGAGGCATGCTGAGATATCTGACACATTGATGCATGTGGAGTTTCAATAAGCACATCTAGTGTATGAATTTTATTGTGTGTTTTTACATTGTGATTATGATCTGCATTAGCATATGGAAAAGGTGCCATTGTCCCATTCCTCACTGTCACTGATCTGCTCATGTAAGTGCTTAAACATCTGGAGGCTGCCATTCCAGATAGTATTTAACATAAAACTGTGCAGCAAAATTTCCAACATCCCTACACTCTCCAGATATCCTGTATGAACATATATATGGTTATTACCTTATTCATGTCATCAGACATAAAACATTGTGGTGTATACAGAAAAATGGAAAAGTGAGGCATGCTGAGATATCTGACACATTGATGCATGTGGAGTTTCAATAAGCACATCTAGTGTATGAATTTTATTGTGTGTTTTTACATTGTGATTATGATCTGCATTAGCATATGGAAAAGGTGCCATTGTCCCATTCCTCACTGTCACTGATCTGCTCATGTAAGTGCTTCAACATCTGGAGGCTGCCATTCCAGATAGTATTTAACATAAAACTGTGCAGCAAAATTTCCAACATCCCTACACTCTCCAGATATCCTGTATGAACATATATATGGTTATTACCTTACTCATGTCATCAGACATAAAACATTGTGGTGTATACAGAAAAATGGAAAAGTGAGGCATGCTGAGATATCTGACACATTGATGCATGTGGAGTTTCAATAAGCACATCTAGTGTATGAATTTTATTGTGTGTTTTTACATTGTGATTATGATCTGCATTAGCATATGGAAAAGGTGCCATTGTCCCATTCCTCACTGTCACTGATCTGCTCATGTAAGTGCTTCAACATCTGGAGGCTGCCATTCCAGATAGTATTTAACATAAAACTGTGCAGCAAAATTTCCAACATCCCTACACTCTCCAGATATCCTGTATGAACATATATATGGTTATTACCTTACTCATGTCATCAGACATAAAACATTGTGGTGTATACAGAAAAATGGAAAAGTGAGGCATGCTGAGATATCTGACACATTGATGCATGTGGAGTTTCAATAAGCACATCTAGTGTATGAATTTTATTGTGTGTTTTTACATTGTGATTATGATCTGCATTAGCATATGGAAAAGGTGCCATTGTCCCATTCCTCACTGTCACTGATCTGCTCATGTAAGTGCTTCAACATCTGGAGGCTGCCATTCCAGATAGTATTTAACATAAAACTGTGCAGCAAAATTTCCAACATCCCTACACTCTCCAGATATCCTGTATGAACATATATATGGTTATTACCTTACTCATGTCATCAGACATAAAACATTGTGGTGTATTTGCTATATGCAAAAACTGTTGAGCCACAGAGACCTCGGGGCATGTATGTAATGTGAGAGTTGCAGATTGTATCGGTGCGTCGCTAGGCGACAACTCTGGGAACGTTTGGATAGCACAACAGGAAGTGCAAGTGACGTTACGTATATCCACTCAGCTTGTCGCTACGCGATGCTCAGGAAAGACCCCTCCACGATAGGCTGTGACATCTTGCAACAGTGGTAGCTATCATAATATGGAGTCCATTGCTGGGCAAAAGGCTGTGTGGTCAGTGTAGAAGCTACATAACAAGAGTATTCGTCAGTGTTGAGCAGTTATGGTGGAAGCAAGCAAGGGGGAACCAGAACTACAGAAGGTTGCCCGTGAGGATGTCAAGTGTGATGCGGAAGACTTCATGAGTGTGAAGGTGCGTGCAGCGGTGGATCTGAGGTGTATGTAAATCAGCAATAGTGCTGTATCTGAGTGTAAATTAAAGAGTGTGTGTAACCTAGCTGTTAATAAATCCAATCATCCGAAATAGAACCCGTCATTTCGTCATGCGTACCCCCCTACTCGTGAAAATATGTAAGAATTGTACATCAAACCTAGCATATCAATACCAGTTCACCTAAAAAATAACAATNATTGATGCATGTGGAGTTTCAATAAGCACATCTAGTGTATGAATTTTATTGTGTGTTTTTACATTGTGATTATGATCTGCATTAGCATATGGAAAAGGTGCCATTGTCCCATTCCTCACTGTCACTGATCTGCTCATGTAAGTGCTTAAACATCTGGAGGCTGCCATTCCAGATAGTATTTAACATAAAACTGTGCAGCAAAATTTCCAACATCCCTACACTCTCCAGATATCCTGTATGAACATATATATGGTTATTACCTTACTCATGTCATCAGACATAAAACATTGTGGTGTATTTGCTATATGCAAAAACTGTTGAGCCACAGAGACCTCGGGGCATGTATGTAATGTGAGAGTTGCAGATTGTATCGGTGCGTCGCTAGGCGACAACTCTGGGAACGTTTGGATAGCACAACAGGAAGTGCAAGTGACGTTACGTATATCCACTCAGCTTGTCGCTACGCGATGCTCAGGAAAGACCCCTCCACGATAGGCTGTGACATCTTGCAACAGTGGTAGCTATCATAATATGGAGTCCATTGCTGGGCAAAAGGCTGTGTGGTCAGTGTAGAAGCTACATAACAAGAGTATTCGTCAGTGTTGAGCAGTTATGGTGGAAGCAAGCAAGGGGGAACCAGAACTACAGAAGGTTGCCCGTGAGGATGTCAAGTGTGATGCGGAAGACTTCATGAGTGTGAAGGTGCGTGCAGCGGTGGATCTGAGGTGTATGTAAATCAGCAATAGTGCTGTATCTGAGTGTAAATTAAAGAGTGTGTGTAACCTAGCTGTTAATAAATCCAATCATCCGAAATAGAACCCGTCATTTCGTCATGCGTACCCCCCTACTCGTGAAAATATGTAAGAATTGTACATCAAACCTAGCATATCAATACCAGTTCACCTAAAAAATAACAATAGGGTTTTTGTTATGTTCACTACAGCTGTAATCATAAAAAATCTACAGTATGAACACAAATAGAGGCAAATCTCGTTTTATAAATACTCAATTTATGAATTCTTCTACAACAAAGAGTGTTAATTTTTACATATTTTTCACCTTACATGCTTCATTTTTGCTATAACAAACAACTTGCATTCATAAGTTTGGTAACTTAATTCAAGGAATACCTGTAGTTGCCCAATAAATGATGTAAACAATTAAAGAAAAATAAAAACTGAAATTATAATCAAAGTTCACCTACCAAATTAAATGCTAACCAGAGGATTACAAAACAGTACAATAGTGAGACCAACAATTACAAATAATACAAAAAAGTATGGAATTATAACCACATGACATGAGACAGGATGAAGCTGCTCTAAGTTGGTCACGGTTTTGTCTTCCTTTTACCATGCTGCTGCATCACAATTATATTTTATTAACACCTTCTACGAAAATTATGCACTCAGCAAAATTTTATCAAGGGAATATGGGGTGCAGAATATAGGCATGAATATTCATATTATATCATCATACTACTTTCAACTTCACTCACAATTTCTTTTAACCTGCCCACATGCAAAAGTTTTGTTAGGGACAAAGTTCTGTCTGCAAGTTCATCAAGGAATTGTGTGACAGAGTCCAAAGATGCAATTTCTAAACACCCTCCACATTGCACATGAGAGACAAAATGCACTGTGTAGTCTACTCTCACTGTCTTACCGTATGCACTTCCGGACAATGAAGAAGACATCATCCACCATACTGGATGTGTGAGAGCCCTCTTCCATGGCATCCATTGCCACAGCCTTCTTCACACTCTCCTCCATAAAATACCGTTCCAGTAGCAGATAATTGCCTAACAATTCCTGCATTCGATGACACAGCTCACTACCATTAAGCATGGCTTCTAACTCAGATATCGATGCAGACCGACTAGGAATGTCAGATATACCAACTTCCAAGTCATTCTTCAACAAATATGAAACAAGTAAATAAAGGAAACATAGTTAAATTCTGTAAAACCAGTGATCCCTTCTTTTATTTAAGTGATTCAAGAATACAGAAGCTAGCCAAAGTTATAAATAAAATGATGCTTCGATGGTAGAAGTTGCATTATGTTAAATGAGATAAGATGATGATAATGAGTGTTAAGCAGATAAGGTTTAACAAGGAGATGGTCATGACATACTTTAAGGTAAGAAATGGCACATTACTAGAAACACTTGAGGAAAACCATAAGGAACTTACTCAGGACAAGCAACAGCTTGTCTAAGATTTCAACTGGGTATATTAATCTGCTCAGAAATAGGGTAAAATGATAACTGTGAATCTGATAATTACTTGGGCCATATGAACTGTAGTTCAGTAACCATATGACCAAACCACATCTATAATTTTACTAGAGGAATTTAGACTTTGCTCGGACCACTCCAGTAAAATTGAAAACTAAAGAAAATATTCACATGGACCTTGGGATTAGTCTTAATGTACTGTACTATTTTTATTTCAGAGTGGAGAAAATATTAACAGGTGGTTACAGGAGAAAGCTAAAATCAAAATATGTACTATATATCTAAAGTTGGCCCTTCTCAGCATGGCATGGTGTATTTCAGGTTCTCACCAAGAGAGATGGCTTCCAGTAATGCAGAGTAGCATTAATATATTTAAAAAGTTGCTGCGGATAGCCAATAAGGGATTTCCTTCCAGTTAGGGGACTGGATAAAATGATAAAGCTGTCCTTGTAACGGGTCAAGAAGGTCCATAGCAGTGTGAGAGGCTGAGGCTCCCAAATCTTCTAGACAGTTGGCTCATAGATGGAGGTAAGGTTATCAGCCTTATTCGCCAGTTGCCCTCTACCTCCCCCCCCCCAACACACACACACACACACACACACACACAGAGGAAAATTCCTGGTACTCATTTCTGTTAGAGGCTGGGTCGGCCCAAGTGCAATAGTGCAGCTGGAAGGATTAGGTCAAATGAAAAATCCAGTGACCTCACTGGGATTTGATACCATGACAGCTTATAGCATAGTGCCTCAACCAAGTATTCTACTGCATGCTCCAGGGTATTGGATAGGGGGCCAAAAAAGAACTCACTGTAAAAGCCTAGCATGCTATGAAATGTTACAACACAGACCAAATACTACATATTGTTACAGTAATCAAAACAAGGAATGTGAGATAGGCAGGGCATGTAGCATGACAGAAGTACACATAAAATTTGGCTCTCAAAACTGGAAGAAATGAGACAATTTCAAAATTTACTGCATAAGCCCAAATATAACGGCATCCCATATTTTTCCGATGAGAAAAATCGGGGGAGGGGGGAAAGCTTTTTGGAAAAAATGCCTATGCCATTTAGTTCTGAGGGTTACTCCTCATAATCATCTTCTTCATACTTATTCTTAAGGACCTGAAAATAAAGTGACCCCTCTTTTCTAAGAAGCAGTATCTAAATAAAAACCTCACCTTAAATTCAAGCTAATACGATGCATGTAGGCGGTAGGATAGTATAGTATAACAGATCTCAAATAAATTGAGTATGAATGCATGGAAGGAAGTCATGTGGTTCAGGATAGAGTTTAGTGGTCATGCCTTCTGACTACCATAGAAGATGGGAAATTTCTTGACCAGCTTCTATAGGACGACTCTGTTCCACAGAGTGAGGTACTTAGATATGAAAAACCCCATCATCATCAGTGTTACCATACACAAGACAGCACTGGTGTAAAGCTGTACAAGAATGTACAAAGCTCTGGAATTCTGTGCATTTCCTAACTCTAAAATCAATTAGTATAATTTATTTGGTTTCTAACGTTACAAATGTTCACACCTTTCTTACTGTTATTATAATTAACACGTTCTCTATATGGTCCCTGCAGTTGCAAGACATGCAGAGAATGAGTAAATGAGAGAATTTTAGGTGACCCTATTGAAATCAGATTTTTTGTAGGCTATTTAACCATGCTTTTCATAGCAAGACCACACAGTGTTGAATGGAAAGTTGACAGATGATGATGAATTAGAATGGGTTTAAACAGAACTGGTCACAATCTAATCAAGGTGCAATCCTTCCATGTGCCTGGACAGACTGAGGAAAAAACCATGACATTCAGTCAGGATAGCTGGTGACCCAACTGAGATTTAAGCCAAGCATCTCCTGAATTCAGGACTGGTATCCCACTACACCAACATGTTCAGTTACTGAAATCAAGGCAACAATAAGAATAACCATTAATTTTAACTACATACCTAAAATAGGAGCCAGGATAGCTCAGTCAGTACAGCAACTGGCTATAGACTGGATGACCGAGAGGTTGGAGTTCTGAGTACTGGTAGGTTCAAGATTTTTCTCTTTTCCACATCGTCCAGAACAGCTCTGGGGCCCACCCAGCCTCCTACCTAATGGATACCAGGGGGCTCTTTCCCTGGAGGTAAAGCAGCCGGTGCGTGAAGCTGACCACTTACCTCCAAATAGTGTTGAGGTCAAGAAAATGTGAATCTCAACATGCACTCCCCCATACGCCTTCATGGTGTAGTTAAGCACAGCAACAACTTTACCTTTTACCTTACATATACATATAAATACATTTCCTTCAGGAAGCAGGACTTTTCATTGTCTTGAAATCATTACTGTTTTAAACTAGTATTGACACACAATGTCAAACACGAACATTTACAAAGCAAAACAAAAGCAGAATCCAGACAATGGATATGATATATCTAAGAAGTACCCAGAAGAGGGACATAATTATAAATTAAATTTTTTGAGAAGTCTGAGTTGAAAATTTGTAAATACAATTAAAGAGCGAAGCAGTTACAATTGTCTGGCCATGTAAATCAAATGGACCGAGAAAAATACCAAGAAGAATATTACAATTAAAATTTAAAGAAAAGGGACCTATGGGATGAATCAGAACAAGAGGATTCAATCAGGAACTGGAAGACATCGAGAGAGGAAGAGGCGGCAAGAAACAGAAGAATGATTTTGAGAAGAAAGACACAACTGGAGGTTTTTCATCAACTGAACGTACAAAAGAGAAATAATGCTTGATAAAGAAGAAAAGGTAGGGGAAGGAGAACGAGGAGAAAGCTGACTACAACATTCAGACAATTGTCTTTTCAGTTTACCATAGCTCTTCTTCTAACAAAGCGCACATACAGCTCCGCACGCGAATGCATGATAGTAAGCTCTCCAAGCAACAGGTCCAGTTTCTTAGGATCCAGTTTGTCTGTTGGCTTGCTATATGAATTACTGCTACGCACATATTCATTAACTTGCTGTACAATCTTTTCCAAATTCCGATACTTGCTAAACTCAGCAAGTATTCGCGAGCTCTGGCGATCACATTCTCTCTGAAGATATGAAGCTACCATTAACAGTCGACCTGGACCTGCAGAATATAAGACACCAATATGGGTTAGGATAACAAAGATCATATCTTCAGAGGGGAAAAAAAAAAGAAGAAGACATTTTTATCCTACTGTGTGAAATGGCGAAACATGTTATCACTGTGTCCTTGAATGAATCTTAAGCAAACTGCTAGTGCCACTTAGGCTGGGGCCACATGAGTGCACAAAATGCATCCGCTGTAATGAACGTTGTGACGTCCATTGTTGAAATAAACAAGAGAGGCGAATGCTACATTTTCTTCTGGCTCCACTGCAGACAAAAAACTATGCACCACACTCTGCAACTGTGTGGTGTCCTCAGCAACGTCTGTCATTAAGTATGTTCATCGGCAATGAACGTACTTCATGCGCTTATGTGGTCCCAGCCTTAGTTGAAAGTCTTGATATCAGTAGTGTAACATGGATATGTAACAAAACTGTAAACATGTCTAACCCACTGGGTTAAAGCTTTTCAGGAACAAAAAAACTCCACTGTGACTGGGAGTATTTCAGGAGAAAGCAACATCTGCTATATTATGAAGATACAGGATCTCTAAGTTGGTCCTCAATCCATTGCAGCACTATATCTGGAGGCGATGTTTAAGGTGAAGTTACTGGTTCAATGAATCTACAGATATATAACAATAACTGATATGAAGGTATACTAAATAGCGATATGCACACTGTAGGCTATACTTCTCTGAAGTTGATCTTTATTACCATACCATCAACTTTTTGTAACGGCCTCTAACATAAAATTCATTGAAAATCCATCCATCAGTTCTTGAATTCAAACATGCAGATGGATAGATAGCTTGAAATGATCTCCCTTATTTGCATTCAGTTGGTCTATGATGTGTAAAGAGCAAATACAGTGAAACCATCTTATTATGAGAATTCATAATATTCATAGAAATGATCATTGTAAGTTCATATATGTAACTATAAATCACCCTGTAAAGAGAACAGTTGATGGTGAAAAGCCTGATTACACTGGAATTTACTTCCACTACCCCCACTTCTTTCTGACAGCGAAGTTACAGAAGACCACAGAGAGATGCTGTCCAAATATCTAGTACATAACACTCTGAAGTCACTACTGTATAGAATAATTTGGAATTTTCAAAAAATGATCACCTTCAGTCCATCAAGAGGGAATTACTGAAGCAAACTGACTAAGCACACTACAAAATTCTACAAACCATAGTAAGTTTCTATCAAGGGTTGATGTATCTCAATAACTCGAGCAATTCCCTCAAATAAGAGTGTCAGAGTATCTGCATAAATAACATCTGCTCGCTTGTCAGAAGGATTTGTCTCAAGCGCAGCTCGCAGGTTTTTGAGGGCCATCTCCTGCAGCTGAAGACAAAAAAGCATAAATGCTACAAACTGCCACATAAAACAAATAGATCATATGTTATACAATGTATAAACTTTATACAGCATTACTTAGACTGGGCAAGACAGAAAATATTCAAATTGACAATAAGAAATTAAACAGAACCCTAAGAAAGCCACAGTTAAGGAAAAACTCAGGTAAGAGAAAGAAATATATGTATGTATATGGAGCAAAAGAGCACTAGTCAGGTCAAAGCACTACTGAAACATTGACATGCAGTGATATCTGTGAGATTGCAGGTTCTCACAGCAATATTGGAAATTGCACGGTGTATTCTGGCCCTTTATGGCATCATACCAAAAGACAGTAACCTTCAAAGTGATATGTGACATTCTATTCTGCAAATGTTCCTGTGGTTCATTATTGTGATGAAAACAGTTTTTTAGCCTAGTTTCCTTTCTTGAAAAACGTAAGTATGACCATGGTGTCTGTGTGTGTGTGTGTGGCTTTTCTTTAGCTTTTGTATTGATGGCAGCAATAAATCACATATTTCATAAGTTCTTAACAAGAATAAATTGAAATCAATAATAATACTAGCAAATCTCCAGGACTAGAATTCTATGCAGTAAGAAAGTATGGTGTATTGGTTCAGCCTAGAATTCCTTGTTCTGTCTCAACTGCATTAAGAGTAAAATACTTCAGAAATCAAAATCAATGATAACATTATTTATATACAACTCTGTCCAAAAAGTATCTGACCTTGGGCCGGGAAAAAAAGTTCTGTATCTGGGTGGTTACAATACCTAATCGCCTTCAAAATAGGCCTTTTGTGACTCCACACACTTAGCCCAGTGGTCCTACCATTGCTGGAAGCAATTCTGGAAGGCTTCTTTTGGAATTGCGTGCAGTGGCGCCATTGTGTTCTGTATGCTGTCCTCGCGGCTGCCAAAACAGGAGCCTTTCAGCGGTATCTTCAATCTCGGGAACAGCCAGAAAAAGAAAAGGAGCCATGTCAGGAGAGTAGGGAGCCTGGCGAACCTGCGGAATGCCATGCTTGGCCAGGAAACCCTGGGTCAGGTGCGATGAATGAGCTGGGGCGTTGTCATGATGCAGCTGCCAGTTGCGTGCGTCCCACCGCTCTGGTCTCTTGCGCCGAACTGCATCATAAAGATGGTGGAGGACTTCTTGGTAGTACTACTTATTGACAGTCTGGCCTAGTGGTGCGTAGTCATGATGCACAACACCGTGGTAATAAAAAAAACAGTCGGTATCACCTTCACATTGCTCCAAACCTGTCATGTTCTTTTGGGCCTCGGGGATGTTGGGTGCTTCCATTGTGACGCCTGAACCTTGGTTTCCGGGTCATATCCGTACACCCACGACTTGTCACCAGTGAGCACAGTCTTCAGGAACTCAGGATCCCTGTTGGCGCACTCCAGCATGTCCTGCGCAACCTCAAGGCGGAATTGTTGCTGCTCCCGCGAAAGTAGCTTGGGCACAAATTTTGCCACCACTCTTCGCATGCCCAAATCCTCAGTTAAAATTGTGTTTGTGGAACCTCTGCTGATCCCAACCTCATCAGCAACTTCACGGATGGCCAAACGACGGTCCTCCATGATCAGAGTCCGCACTTTTTCAATATCAGCATTGACGGTCTCCCGGAACACTGCTCACTGTCCGCCGACATACGGCCATGTTTAAAGCAGTTGAACCACTCTTTAATTTCAGTGACCCCCAATGCATCATCGCCGAAAGCCTGCTGAATTTTGCCAGTTGTTTCCACTTCAGTATCCCCAAGTTTCTGACAAAATTTAATGCAGTATCGCTGCTCCAAGCGTTCTGTCATCTTGAGCGAAACGAGAATGCAACGAACACGTGTTACACCACTTCGACATCTGGCAGCCACAGACGCATCCGGCAGTATTGTGAGTCAGCAAGCATGTGCATGAAAGTCCTTTCTACCACTACGCTCAGTTTCCCCACCCCTTTGGCCATTACTTACAGTGGAAAAAAATAAAGTCGGATACTTTTTGGACATATGGTACACTACATAACAAAATTTAAGTAAATCATGAAGAAAGCAGTTTTCTGGGATTTGGCACCGTGTATATGTGGTGTACAAACAACCGGTTCTCACGGTCTCTTCGCCTGCAGATTTCTTATATTTTTTCTTGTACCCTGAAGATAGAGGCAATACGTTTCTCCGAAATGTCGGTTAACACCACATATACACGGTGCCAAATCCCAGAAGACTGCTTTCTTCATAGTCACCACCATTGAAACCTCAAATCTTACATTAGTAAATCATGTTGTAATGGCATGACAAAGACTTCAGTGTTGTTAGATTTTTATTGTTACAGTGCATTGGAGGTGAAATTAAAAACTGATAAGACACAAGTAGAAGTTAATGCAGGAGGTCCATATTGTTTTTAATATTTTACATATTTATATTTTGTTTTGTTTAATTTTGATATACTGATAAGTGGGATGGTCAGAGTATAGGTAGCTTTTCCACAGAAAATGGTCAGTCACTCTGACCAGAAAATAAAACAAGTTAAGTGTTTGAGAGAAAATGAAAAAAAGAGTATAACTATGTACTTGTGTGCAAAATGCTTCCTTGTATGTAATATTACCTTTGAACAAAGGTACAGTGAAAACTTAATCAGGCCCTCATCCTTCATCCCAAGTAGTGGGAATATTTTAAAAAACCTCTCCACTGATGCCAAATCTTCAGAACGTACTGCTTCATCAAACTTCTGTGTGACAATAGCACCCAGCTGGGCGGCTGCTTCATGCAGTAAAGAAAATGAGTTTGTGACACTTGTGCAATCTGAAATACAAGAAAATCCCCGAGTTCTTAGCATATGATTACATCACCAGCATACTCAATTTTAAAGCGATTAATGTTCTTCACAGTAAAGATGATAATTACTCAGCTGATTAAGAAACTCCATGCTTTCATGGAACCAAATGTTTAATCCTGTGTTTTCAAAAGTATTCCACACCTTTACATCCTATTCCTCTAGAATAATTTGAATACTGCACTCCACCTACAAGGTGGTTCAAATATGACAGGGACTGATTTGTGCGTAAACACGCTGTACTGTGCAGCAGCTGTGTGACCTTGAGAGAGTGAAGCCACAACCACCACCTTCCCTCCTGTTTGGGTTAGAATTTGTTCAGTCCTGTCTGGGAGTTGCTAGAGTGATGAACAAACAGAAGGTACCGCGGAGCATGGAACAACACATTGTGATCAAATTCCTCGGAGAAAACGTCCCGTCCGCTGAAATTCACCACAGACTCCAACAACAGTATGGGGAAGAGTGTCTCTCATGGACCCGTGTGTTTGAGTGGTGTAATTGCTTCAGAGAGGGCAGAGAGCGGGTGGAGAAAGAACCGCATGATCATTGGTTGCGAACATCTGTCACTGAGCCAAACATTGATCATGCAGATATGCTTATTCATGAGAATAGGCGCATCACTCTCAAGGAACTTGGAGTAATGCTGTCCATCAGTGTTGGTAGTGTAGAAGACATTGTGGAATACCACCTGCACTATCGCAAGGTGAATGCACGGTGGGTACCACGCACTTTGACGGACGTGAACAAAATGGTGCGCATGCGAGCTGCCAGTTGTCTCCTACAGCAGTCTGAAGACGAAGGTGATGCATTTTTGAAGTCTATAGTGACCACCGAAACGTGGGTGCACTACTTCATTCCCGAGCCCCAGCAGTCATCATGCGAGTGGCGGCATACCAGTTCTCCCAAACCCAAGAGAGCGTGGAGGAGCCGTTCAGCAGGAAAAGTGATGGCAACGTTCTTCTGGGACTGGCAGGGGGTTATCCATGTAGACTTTCTGACAGATGCCAGAACAGTCAATGCAGCTTATTACGCAGACCTCATGGCAACAGATGTGAAGGAAAAGATCCAATCCAAGCGGAAGACAGGTGGAAAGCGGGTAGCCTTCCTTCAAGACAATGCATGTCCCCATACGGCCAAAACAACAATGGAAACCCTTCGGAAATTGAAATGGAACCTTCTGACACATCTGCCGTACAGTCCCGATTTGGCCCCAAGTGATTTCTACCTGTTCGGAAGGCTCAAATCAGACTTGCAAGGCATGTGGTTTGTGGACGACGCCGTCATCCAGACTGTTCGGGAGTGGATACGCCGCCAACCACAAGTCTTTGGGGGGGGGGGCATCAGGATGCTTTCAGAAAGTTGGAAGAAATGTGTTGACTCTGGAGGGGAGTACATTGAAGACTGACATGTGCAAGTAAGTGTTTGGCAATTATGGTTTAAAAAAAAAATCAGTCGCAGTCATATTTGAACCACCTTGTATAACCTGGTCTCTGAAGATGCCTCTACCCCAGAAGCGTCTGATCAAAATGTACGAATTTCCATTTCCCTTGGAGTGCTGCAGGTCCCACTAGTGTCATCTTTCTTGTTTTAATCACCTGGTTTATAGGGATGGGCAACAGACTGGACAGCCAGGGTTAATGCCAGGCAGAGGAAAGAGATTTATCTCTGTTTCATAGTATCAAGATCAGCTCTGGACCCCATCCAGCTCCCTATCCAATGGATACCATTGGCTCCTTCCCCAGAAGTAAATAAGCAGGGGCGTGAAGCTAATCACTCACCTCCACCAAGTGCTGAGGTCGATTATAGTGGAGCAATACCTTACTCTCCCCATATGTATTCATGGCATGGTGCTTAACAAATTAAGCACAGACACAACTTTACCTTTACCTTAAAAATATTTGGCAAAGAGTATCAATTATGAAGCTATGCATTATGCAGCTTTCTCTGTCACTTTATCTCTTAGGTTTAATTAACTGTGTCTATACCTCATTCCCAAACATCACAATTACTTTACTGTCAGAATGAGAAATTAAGTTACACATCCATACAAAACAGAGAAGCTCACATTTTTACACATTAAACAATGAAAAATCTCACTAAGTACAAATATTTCAATGTTCATAAATCCTACTGAATGACGAATTTCAGACAAAGGCATGATGATATCCTGCTGGAATTATGTGTGTACTGGGTCTGACAAAGACAGTAAAGGTATCACTGTGATTAAGTAGATTAATTAAATCAGACTATGAAGACATATGGGGGACTGGAGGTACAACATACTTGACCTCGACAGTGTTAGATAGAAGTTCATGGCCAGCTTCATGGCATGCTTTGCTCTCAAGAAAGAGCCCCTGATATACATTGGACAGGATGCTGCACAAAATCCAGCCTAGGAGGTACATAGAAGAACTCTTGCAGCTGCTTGCAATTCAATTTTGTTATCTGCTGGTAGCCTAGTTAATATACTGACAACTTTGCCAGTTGTTAACAAGGAAGAAACAAGTACAAGGGTAAGTCAGAAGTTATCCGCACTTTCTCCATAACACATCTTTAGGTTTGTCACACTGCCTTCTATGCATGCATTGTTAGAGCTGGTACTACTGTGGTCACATGATCGAAGTTTTATCTTGATCGCATCATTTTCCTTGATGCTGTGATAGTGTAAACACAACTGCTCTGCTAGCAGTGTGCACCAATGATTAACAAAGAATAGTGATCCAATTTCTCTGATTGGAAGGTGTGTCAGGGGCTGAAATTCATATGTAGGGTCATCACTATGAGCCAGAATCCAAAAGCCAGAGTATGGCGTGGAAACACCCGGGATCGCAAACGAAGATGAAATTCATGACACAGTCTTTTGTGGGAAAGGTGATGCTAACTGTTTTTGCGACTCAAAAAGGCCTATACTGGAAGACTACCTGGAAAAAGGGTGTACAATCAACAGTGCAAGATACAGTGATTTGCTGGCCAACAATCTGAAGCCAGCAATTCGCACCAAACGCCGAGGCCAATTGTCGAAGAAAGTGTTGTTGTTGCATGACAATGAACACTCACACAAGGATGGCCAGACCGTTGAAACCATTAACCATTTGTGTTTCGAGGTGCTGGAACACCCTGCCTACAGCCTAGATCTCGCCCTTTCCGACTATCATCTCTTTGGACTGCTCAAAGATGTTTTACGAGGTTTCTAATTTTCTACGGACAAAGAAGTGGGGGAAGCGGTGCATAAACGGTTGCACGACCAACCGAAAACCTTCTTCGTGGAGGGAATATGCAAGCTTTTGGACCGCTGGACCAAGTGCATTGAAAAGGGAGGAGACTATGTAGAAAAATGAAGTACTTGTTGAACCCCTACTTTTGTATATATGGATTGGAAAAACAAGAGTGCGGATAATTTTTGACTTCCCTACGTGCATATTATTACATAGTGATTCAAATTCTAATTCATGAGATGGACTGAGAGACAGCGAGAGCAACAGCCTATTCCTCAGCTGAAAAAATGCAAGCTCCATGGACTTCATAATTAGTATGATGATATTTATGCAGGGTCATGTATTAATGAATTTTCTCGACCTGAAATCTTAACACAGCTGGACCAACAACCAAAGAATATAGCACCAACTCAACAACATCAGCAGCTTGCTTAAACAATGCTGCTATTCTGTGTCTAAGTATGTCACCATTAGATAATGGCACAGATAGTTACAATATAATCAGAAAGTTACTACATTTTATTTACAACACACAATGGGAAAAAGCAGTGCCATAATGGAGATCACTGAACATAAAGGAATTATCTTACACAAGACTTCCTACACAAGGTATGATGTAATCTTAAAGATGTTTTACAAAAACAAAATGGTATTCATTCATGAGATGTTAAGTTTCTCAAAAGAACCAATTCTCACTACACATATGCAGTATTAATTTATTTGCTAATTCTCTAACAGTGCCTCACTGCAGTAGTCTGACTTGCAAGGTTTCTCCACACCTTATTTTGAGAGACAGTAAAAACTGCATACAATAGTAATGGTGTATTTTTATGTCTTCTTCCACGAAATGCATGAGTTGAGCCCATACAGAGGTGGTCACATTTGTCTTCCAGACAGAAGTTGTCAACACCACCAAAAACCAAGGAGTTCCAGCAGTGTCACTCAAAACAGAAGGGAACCATTTTCAATTGGTAGGGGATCATGCACTGTAAGTTTATTTCTGAGGCTGCTAAAGTCAACAAGGTGCTTACTCTTGTCTATGTAAGTAATGTGCCAAATGCGAACAACAAAACTGTCACTTCAAGGATGCAACAGACGCAAGTATCTCTGAAGACTGTGCTGCAGAAGTCACACATGGTGATTTCCAGAAACTGTATTTGTTCAAGGTTTATTTAACCATGCTGTCAGTAGCTCAGATTATATAGTGTCGAATTATGGGATGACTGGTGATTAGTGAACTGAATAGAATGTGGAGGGAGCTGGATGTGGTCTAATTTGAAATATTATTCCTAGCTCCCTGGAAGAACTAGGAAAAAAAATGTCACAACAGCTAGTCTCCAACCAAGATTTGAGTCTGGAACCTACTAAATACAAAGCAGGAGTTCTGCTCATTCTATTGCAACATACAATGGTGTCCAGAACTGTGCTGAACAACTGCATAGATACTGAAAACAGTATACAGTTGCTCAAGGAGAGCACTTTGAAGACAACTGTATCTAACACCTTCTTAGTGCCAGTGAATTCATGGTATGGATCCTGTCTTGGAACTTTATGAAGCTACCACTATATCAGAGGGTTTTATTATAACTAATTATTCAGTCACTATACAATTCTCTGTCAACTGGTGAGGTTATGCAGTGTCCAGTGATATACAGTAGGATGATGGTGATTTCAAGGGATAAGTGATGGAGAACTATCTCAAGGTACTAATCCAGCACTGGCCTAGCATGGGTGAATAAAACCACAAGAGCCTCAATCAGAACATCTGGCATCTGGCTTCAATATCATGCACACATCTTTCAGGACTGTAGTGAAGAGGTTTTACTGTAAGCAGATAAGTATCTAACTGGTTTTTGCTACAGTACATATTCTGTTTTTACTTGTACTTTGGAAACAATTCTTTTCCATAACTGATATATCCCATACCCTCAGCTACGTCATCAGCAGTCTGTTTCAGAAGATGCTGGTCCATGGAAAGAAAGCGATGGACATGGGCAGCTGCTTTTTCAAAATCTTCATTCCGAAGAGCAGTCTGTACACCATTGCTACATAACTGAAGATCCAGTAAGTCATGAACCCTTTGCTGACACTCAGACACCCTTCCCTGAACAGCAAGCATAATATAAACATTACAATAATCATAACTGTATTCTGATAATAATGCAGATGGACATATCCTATATCAGTGTATTATGATCTACAGGATAAAATGAAAATGAACAAAACATTAATGAAAATTAAATTACATAAGTTAAAAGAGTTACAATTTATAAAAGAATGATTTTTTTATGTTTACAGTTACAAGTACAGAAGCTACTGATGTTATGTTATTAATAACATGCAAGCAGAATTTTCACATGTGAAGTACTGGAAAAGAGGGCGAAAGAAGTAGTTCTACAAGTACTATCTCTAGATTCACCTGGAAGGACCGAACAAAGCTGTCAAAACTTAAGTCAGGTTAAATGGTCCTTGATTTTAACTGCATAACTGCTGAACACAAGCTGGATGTACTAGGTGGTTCAAATATGACCGGGACTGATTTTTTTGTAAAAAAGCCGCACTGTGCAGCAGCTGTGCGACCTCGAGAGATTGTAGCCACAACCTCCACCCTCCCTCCTGTTAGGGTTAGAACCTGTTCAGTGCTGTCTGGGAGTTGCTAGAGGGATGAGCGTACAGAAGGTACTGCAGAGCATGGAACAACGCATTGCGATCAAATTCCTCGTTGGAGAAAACGTCCAGTCCACTGAAATTCACCACAGACTCCAACAACAGTATGGGGAAGAGTGTCTCTCACGGACCCGTGCATTTGAGTGGTGTAAGTGCTTCAGAGAGGGCAGAGAGTGCGTGGAGAATGAACCGCATGATCGTTGGCCGCGAACATCCATCACCAAGCTGAACATTGATCGTGCAGACGTGCTTATTCATGAGAATAGGCGCATCACTATCAAGGAACTTGGAGTAATGCTGTCCATCAGTGTTGGTAGTGTAGAAGACATTGTGAAATACCACCTGCACTATCGCAAGGTGAACGCACGGTGGGTACCATGCACTTTGACGAATGTGAACAAAATGGTGCACATGCAAGCTGCCAGTTGTCTCCTACAGCAGTTTGAAGATGAAGGTGATGCATTTTTGAAGTCTATAGTGACCACCGATGAAACGTGGGTGCACTACTTCATTCTCAAGTCCCAGCAGTCATCACGCGAGTGGCAGCATACCAGTTCTCCCAAACCCAAGAGAGCGCAGAGGAGCCCTTCAGCAGGAAAAGTGATGGCAACGTTCTTCTGGGACTGGCAGGGGGTTATCCATGTAGACTTTCTGGCAGATGCCAGAACAGTCAATGCAGCTTATTACTCAGACCTCCTGGCAACAGATGTGAAGGAAAAGATCCGATCCAAGCGGGTAGTCTTCCTTCAAGACAATGCATGCCCCCATATGGCCAAAACAATGGAAACCCTTCGGAAATTGAAATGGAACCTTCTGACACATCCGCCGATTTGGCCCAAAGTGATTTCTACCTGTTCGGAAGGCTCAAATCAGACTTGCAATGCATGTGGTTTGTGGACGACGCCATCATCCAGACTATTCGGGAGTGGATATGCCGCCAACCACAAGTCTTTTTTTGGGGGGGGGGCATCAGGATGCTTCCAGAAAGTTGGAAAAAATGTGTTGACTCCGGAGGGGAGTATGTTGAAGACTGACATGTGCAAGTAAGTGTTTGGCAATTATGTTTTTTTTTAAATTATTCCCGGTCATATTTGAACCACCTTGTATTACTGTTGTGTCAATCTGACCAGTAACAAGACAGTATATATGTACTATGCCTTACCCTAGCAATGTCAAGCTGGCGTACTTTTGCACTAACATTTTCTGCCAGAGTGGAAGTAAATGTTATCATTTCAGCAAGTTGCCGAGCATCAGAGTGCACAATCTGCAGGTTTGGTAACACCTTAGTAATGCCACGCAGTTTTGCTTCCAAGTGGCACTGTCTTGAAAGGAGTGTCTCCAGTCCATTGTTTATTTCATCCTACAATAATAAAAACAAAACAATATTACAAGTTGTGCTAAGATGGCACCACTGCATTCTGGCACCCCAACTAGGGGTACACAATAGGGGCACGTGGTAGTGTAGCTGGTTGTGGCACTATGCTACAAGCCAGAAGGTCATGGGTTCAAGTCCCAATAAGGTCACTGGATTTTTTTCAATTGACCTAATCCTTCCGGCCCTACTATGGCCCTTGGGTCAACTCAGCCTCTAACAGAAATGAGGACCAGGAATAGTCTTGGAATACTCATAGGGGTTAAGATCGGCTGGCACGTAGGGCTGACAACCTTGCTCCCATCTATGAGACAACTGTCTAGAAAATGTGGGATCCTCAACATCTCATAATCCTATGGGCCTCCGCAGCCTGTTACAGGGATAGCTTTACTTTTTTTACTTTACTTTATCCATTTGCTATGGTCACTATGTTAGGAAAAAAGCTGTATAATGTGTAGCTTCAGATTTAAAAAATACATCATACAGAACTGTGATGGTGTTCTGTTTTGGGAAACACTGCACTTGATACCTTCAGGGTTAATGAGGCTCTTATATAGCTCACACATTAGGCAGGTTACTGGAGGGGAAGCCATAACTGAACAGAGAAGTTGGATGCTAATAGAGAACTAACCAAGCTGTTCCTGACAAGAGGAGATAAAAAATGCTTTCAAGTTCTGTTGAACTTGAACTAACCATGTGATTGATTTTCCAGGATGCCCTATTTATACATGTCACAGTCCATGTTTGAGTCTTGTACTAAATATTAAATTCTGAAAAAATTTTCTGGAGGTCCACCTTCAAACTTTTAGTGTACATCAAGCAGGTATTTTTTTTTCTCATAATTTTAAAGTTGTAGTTTACTGAGTAATTCAAGGTTACGTTTTAAATTGAAAACTCTTTAACTGCTTCAATATGACAACGCAGTTCTATCATATATCATTTTAAAGCTCATTGCTAGTTCTTTAAAATAAGCTCAATTTCAGCTCTGTATGTGAAGAAGAACCAAAGTTAGAATTAAATTTTTGGTCATCCATTAGGAAAAATTTCTCAGTTCTTAAAAGTTTCAAATGACAATATCATTAAATAACCAACAATGAATTGTGAAAATTTCTACGCCTACTAGGCCGAGCACAAACCATAAAAAAATATAATGACCTAACCTACCATCAATTTTGCATTTGTTGATATAAATACCGAAATATAACAAAGGATGAAAAAAGATTATTTACTTCAAGCTTTGCCGGCTACAGACGCGTGTGGAGGTTTTGGCTCTAAAATCTGAGGCCAGATAAGAACAGAATGTGTCAGCGTTCAATTACTGTTCTTCACTGGATGAGAGAAAGGGGCAATATGTCTCTCCATATCACTTATGGATGTTGCTACAGCCTAATATATTTTTCTTTAAAATACTAAGCTAGAATTATTACTCACAGGACAGGCCCTACTCTAAAAACTTGCATGCACGTACATGAATGAATGTTAAGGCCTTCTTGGCCCTTGCACCGCGACCACGGCGATCTATTGTGCTTTGCATGCCACTCTTAAGACATTTCAACATAACCACAAATGTGTTGTTTCAATAAACCCTCTTAATCATGCATTAATCCATTCAACATTTTGCATTGTAATAAATACCTCTCTGGCCACTAAACTGTTGTATACCCTTTGAATTTCGTCCAGATTGACTAATGCACCTTCAACTATTCCTGATGAACCTGCCATTGCACACAAATCACAACTTACACATCGCCATTTGCTATACCTGTTGTCTTTTGTTTTCATTCATACCAATTTAGTCATTTTGTCACTAATGCTCGCTAATGCTGTGTGGGATTGTCGATGTTCCAATACACAACCACTTCGGAAAGCTTGCGGGCCCGAAAAGGGCCGTTTGTTCCACTGCAGTAGATAGTTTTACGGCCTTTCGGTTGTTCTCTCTGGCCCGGTCTGGCCCGTCTGGCCGCTGATGTAGGGCTGCGTGCGCAGTAGAAATAGATGTTAGCTGTTGTTGCGGTAGCTGAGTTGTCTGGTCGCAGTGTAGCAGTTGTTGGAAGTTGCCTCGTCGCAGAACGCGGCTGTTGGAAGTGTTGGAAGAGGTCTGGTCGGGAAGCGCGGGCGCTGGAGTGGCTGCAGCTGCGTTAGTTTCCTGGTTTGTTGGGCATGACCGCCGTGAGCCGAAGCAGTTGTCCCTAAGGCTCTTTTCACACTATACGGTTTTGACCGCACGGCAAAA